ATGTACATTGTCAAAGTCACAATGCTGAACAAGTTTTGTTCTGAAACCAACTGAAGGCGTAGTTGTGCAAAATCTAACAGTAGTAAGAGCATGCCGCCCATTGTACCTGAAAGTATCTATTTTCGAATAAATATCTTGGTCAAAGATTGACCAGAATGGGACAAGAATGTAAACAATTTTGTATCCGGATGTTGAATCCTCTGTACTCGATATCCTTCCAAAATCAGCTCAAAAAGCTGAAAAACGAAAGCATACCATGCGGCTCAAGACGCGGTTGGAATCGTCGAGGCGCAGCTCACCAATGGCTGGCTAATCACAGCATTTCAGTTTGCCACCCAATCTAATAGATGCATAGGACAACAAAGAAAAGAGATTTACGCCCACGCGCCGACAAGACTCATGCCGAAAGCGCCCAAAAACACCAGCAGGCAAGCACCGATGCGCTGCTTGCCGCGCAGGTAGCGCCAGCTGGCGTCGCTGAGAAAGTCTTCCGAGAGAAGCTCGACCAGGGACGCAAACGTGAGCAGACCGGCGGAGATGGCATTCATGACGCCGACGAGGATGAGACCAACCTCGGAGTCGGGGCTGTAAAGCGTATGCGTAGCGAGCCCAATGGCCTGGCCAAGAGGCGTTCTGGGAGTAAGAAAAGTGTTAGCCTCTGCCAAATGCGGCATCAGAGCAAGAGGGTGACATACGTGCAACCATAGGCAAGAGCCATGAGCCACGGCTGGATCGTCTTCTTTTCCCACTTGACAGCGGCGATGCGAGAACCCAAAGCCAATCCCTCAAAGGTTTCTAGTGCCGAGTTAGCCAAAGGAGACCTATGAGGATTCTAGAGTCTACTTACGATGGAATGTAATTGCAATGAGCAAAACGATGAATTCATTTCCGACGGAGACGCTCAGAGCCATGCCAATGAAAACGCTGTGAAACAGGATACCCAGTTCCAAGAGAATGCACTGGAGACGGTCTCGGCGTTCCACTTGCGTCGCGGAGAGCTTCGGCGGGCGAAACGACTCCTCGTCCGACGAGAGCACCGCTTCATTCTTGGTGGCGGCCGCATCCTTCTTGGCCTGGGCCTCAATCGGTGTCGACAAGGCCCTACCGAGCTGTGTCAGCTCCTGACCGACGCTCGACTGCCGTCCGTTGATGGGACCCATGTCCCGGATCGGCTGCTGCGCCGCGCCGGACTCTTCCACCACAAACGTCGGCTTGGCCATGCAGCCTTGATGACCACCACCACTGCTGCCATTATGCGCAGCGACGAGATCCTCGGGAGGAATCTGCCGGGACGGGTGAAAGACCATCTCAATGACGGTGACGAGGAAGACGGCGGCGAGCGAAATGGCGCCCGGCATGGCCTGGTAGTCTTGGGTCCAGAAGCTCGACAGGCAGGGGTTGTTGAGGGAGACAAAGGCAGTGGGCAGCAGGTGGACAAAGGCCGTGGCGATGAGCACGCCGGTGCCAAAGTGACGCACGACGAAGAAGAAGCGCGCGGGAATGCGCAGCGCGGGGAACTTGGCGGCGAGGAGCGGAAAGGCGCAGCCGGTAAAGGAGACGAAGAGGATGATGAAGAGCGCGCCGACGTGCAGGGGGAGGTTGTAGTCGGCGGAGGCGACACCGCCGGAGGCGCAAGTTGAGCGCTTGCGGAGCGGCGAGGCGGCGGCGACGGCGGCGGCGGCGGCGGTGGTGGTGGTGTCATTGAGCAGGAGAGCAGCCGGGGAGACGCCGAGAGACGCCGGGATGGCGGCGGCGGTGGAACGGGCCCGAAAGGACGAGAGTACAGAGGAAGCAACAAGAACGGATAAGATCCAGGCTACCCACCCCCAGACGTTGGAGAGACGCTGAGAAGAGGGAGAGGCTGGAGCACGGGGGCATTGGCCATCACCGCCAGGGGCCGCCGTGTGAGAAGCTAGGGATGGTCCTATAGGGAGCAAGAGTTAGCGGGGGTTTCTGCCTTTTTCTTCTTCTTCCTCTTTTCTATCTTTTATTTTTTTCATATTCTTGTTGAAAACGCAATGCAATTGTTTGGGGAAAAAAAAATCATACCGTTCATCCATCGTCCTGCTTCTTCCGCCTTGGACAGCGGCTCCGGATCCCGCACGGCATGCCGAAGCCGTTCGTCCTCGGCGTCGGCGCCCAAAAGGCCCGCGTTGCCGCCGCCGCCGTCGTCCTGATCGGCGGCCACGTGCTCCCGCAGGTTGCTGATGCCGTTGAGGTCCTCGCAGGTGGTCTGACTGGCCGAGAGAGCGGGTGGGCTCTGGTTAAACGAGAGGTGACGGAGCGAATGCTCGTCTGCCTTGGAAAGACAAATCATTCTTGATTTTTTGATTTTTTTTTTTTTTATCCTGTTTCTTCTTTTTGCTTTGGTCTTGGGTGTCCTCGTGCAAGAATCTTTGCTCAAGAAAAGAATCAATTGGGAAACGACCTGGAAAAGGATCCGCAGTCGTCTTTTCAGTTGAGCTGTTCTGGGAGAGGAAAAGAAGAAGAAGAAGAAGGAAGAATGGCTGCAAGAGAAGGTTTTTGGCGGATTTGGGACGGGCAACTGGGCAACCTCTATGGATGCCAAGGCTGCGCCACTGTGGAGAGATTGGTTCAGCGCCGTTCTGTCCCGACACTAGTGACACGAACTTTGGGGGGGAAGGTTTTGTGTGGTAGGGGGATCTTTCGTCTGAACCTACTGGGGAGAAAAGAGATAAGGCGAGATATGGGATGGATTAGAGGTGGTGCAATGTGATGCCGGCCACGGACAACAAGACGGTGATGGTGCAAGTGTGATTGGCTATGCTGAGCCGTATCGCGAGTGTGTTGTTGGTGTTGATGAAGGTACTTACTTATCTATGTATGCCGCCGGATTAAGCTTAAATTTTGTAAGTAGAGGTATTATTAGCTTGACCCTGCAACGCCACGCCACGCCGGCACAACAAACGCCCGCAGACTAGCACAATAAGCCGACACTTTTATTTATTTTGTTGGACTCCTTGATGACAAGTGCATTGGCGTCTTTTTAAAGTGCGTCTCAGCTCTGCAAATATTGGACATTGGGCCAATATTGCCAAGTTGACCATGACTGCGCTGACCACCCATTCTACGACCGATTTGATAGTTTTCCGACGGCACCATCCGCCGGCAGCTTTGTAAGACGGTGAGACAGAGACTTAATAGCCGACGAAGCGAAACTTGCAACAATTCAGAAAAAAAAAATGATCAAGGAGATTGCGGATAGATCTTATCTGTATAGCCAATTCTTGAGACGCGCATCTCGAGCTAAAAGCGTGCCTCAAACGGATCACCTTCCGAAAACCCCGCTGTAGGCCGCCCCCTCGCTCGCTGGTTGGTGGCAAAAAAAAAGGCCTCGAAGCACCTCACCATGACGCCATTGCCCATCTACATCTCACATCCCGCCCTCACATCCCGCCCTCACATTCCTACTCTTGAATTCTTTCCATCCATTCCATCTCCTCTGTCTCTGACATTCATTTCAAGTCATCAACATTCAACTCAATCAAACCTCAATGGCACTCCCTCCCAAATTCGCCGGCCACAAACTCCTCTTCGCCCCGCCCTCCTCCTCCTACATCTCCCCCTCTTCCGTCCCGCCCACCACGCACACGCTCGAGCTATACCTCGACTACTGCTGCCCCTTTTCCGGCAAGCTCTTCCGCGCGCTGCGCACCGTCGTCACGCCTCTCGTCCAGGCCAACCCCGCATGGGCCGCCAACCTCGCCGTCGTCTTCCGGCAGCAGGTCCAGCCGTGGCACCCGTCGTCGACGCTGCTGCACGAGGCCGCGCTCGCCGTCCTGCGCCTCGACCCGGCCAAGTTTTGGGACTTTTCCGCTGCGCTTTTTGATGCGCAAAAGTCCTTTTTCGACGTCAACGTGGTGAATGAGACGCGAAACGCAACGTATAAGCGGCTGGCCGTCATTGCCGGCGGCGTGGGCGTCGATGAGCACAAGGTGTATGAGCTGCTCGCGATTCCGGAAAAGGCAGAGAGCGAGGATAGGCTGAATGTCGGGAACGGGGTGACGAATGATTTGAAGCTTGTTACCAAGATGAATAGGCTGATTGGCGTGCATGTGACGCCGACTGGTGTCTTTGATGGTGTGGTGCAAGATATTGGCTCTTCGTGGGGCGAGAATGAGTGGAAGGAATGGCTCACCAAGAATGTGATTTAATGATGGAATGAATGATGATGATGAATTACATGAAGCTAGATGGAAATTCAAAAATCTCCGTGCTCTGTCATACATCAAATCTCAAGGCGCACCCTGGGCAGCCGCCTAAGAATAGTAGCAGCGCCAGCTTCAAGAAGCTCCACCCAAAATCAACGACACACGTCCAAAACCTCCATAAACACGTACAGTACAGTATCGCGCACCACACCTCCGACCATGCGTGCCCTCACCGCCGCCGCCCCTCGGCTACTCTCCCGCCTGTCCCCGCAGCATCCCGACGTCCTCTGGCTCCCCGCGACGTCATGCGCCCAGCTGCTCCGGCCCCTTCGTCGCCACCCAGCCGCCGTCGTTCTTTGCCTGTACTCGACCAAGGCGCCGCCGGCAAAGATGGCCGAGGTCGTCTCCAAGCGACAAGCCGACGCGACGTTGGCCGCCGCCAAATCAAAAGCAACGTATGGTATGTATGCATTGGTTTGGCAAAAAAAGAAATAAAAAAAACAATAGAATCAAATTTGGTCCTGGCAAGCTGCGCGCGCTAACGTTTGCGCAGAGATACCCGAGCGGCTGCTCATCTACCACGCCGGCACTGGACGAACCACCTTTCTGGCCATGCTCAAGGTGACTACCCTCTTCATCGGCGCCTTTTTCTGCTTCGTCGCCGTTCCGAGCTACATTTCCGCCGACAAGCCCGTTTCCGAAACCGTCAAAAGTAAGCATTCCTCTCCCCAACACTCTTTATCTCTCTCGTGATGACACAAACCTCGCTCACACAACTGATCCCCCCCCTCCTCCAGTCGCGCTGTGCGGTGTCATCCCCTTCTTCTTCGTCACCTACACCACCGCTCCCTTTGTCACGCACCTCTACATTCACCTCCCCGTCTCCGCGCGCACCTCGCGCGCCGCCCTCGAGCGCTTCGTCCGCGCCGCCCTCCCGCCGAGCGCGCGCCTCACCGCCACCACCATGAGCGCCATTGGTAAGCCCCGGTATAGCACACTGTGCGCGGGGGACCTGCGCCCCGTGAGACGGCGGCGGTTCGGGCTGGTGAATTACGCGCGCGACGCCGGGGCGGAGAATCGCGGCCGCCGGTGGTATGAGCTGCCCGCGGTGAGACAGTTTCATGTGCCAGAAGGCGGCGGCGGCGCGGCCAAGGAGAAGACGGTCAGAAAGGAGGGCAGGAGACTGGTGGAGCCGTGGATATGGGATGCGATCAAGGAGAAGATTGCAAAAAGGAGTGGTGAGGCAGGCGGTGCGGCGTCGTGAGGGCTTTTAGGGGGAGCAGCAAGTGTCTGGATTGGTGTTGTAAGATTATTGTATACATGAGATGATTGAAGCAATTCATGATGAAAGGCATGCGAAAACCTTTCGAGTACACAGTTTGTGCTCCAATATTGACTGATCTTTGGTTGCTAGATGCGATGGGCTGATCCTGTTCTTACTCCAAGTTTTCATACAACGAGGTCAAGTGTTGGCAGCATACTCCGTATGTATGCTAACACTGAGCAGCCTCCAGCGCACACCCTCCCATGTTCAACTAGAACATTCTCGCTCCCAACTCTCCATTGACCAACCATTCCTCCCAAGCCACCACTTTCCCTAACCGTACAAACTAGATCGCCCCCATTCCCCTCACATTGGAACAAGCACCCGCCCAAAAATTACGCATGACTTGCTACAACGTGACAAAGATTTGCTGCAGGCTTATCCCGCCCCCTTCCAAGCGCCACCCATTCCCACCCAAGCCCGCCGATGCCGGGGAGGGCATTGATCTTGGCTCAAACCGCCCCCGGACCCTGTAGTCAAACACGGCCCGTATATTGAAAGTGCAAGGTTGAGCTGATATATATATATACATATATATATATGGTATGATATCAAGTTCTTTTCTGCCTCACTTCTTTTCTTTTTTTGCGGCAAGAATATCATCAAGTCTCAATCCACCATGCTGCTTTTTTACTCTTGATGCCCACTTCCATCTGTCATTTGCCATCCCCCACGCAGGTGAGATAGATGAAATGGAACAACAACAAACGGCCAGACAAAAACAAGAAAAAAGAAAAAGGATGATCCACACTGCCCTATGACGATGGTGGACAAGTTGTCCATCTTCCAAGTTTGTGGAGCAGCTCCGCATCCCTTGCTTGCCTCGTCTATCCCTCACCATCGCACAGACGTGCTTCTTATAACTAGCAAACCGGGGGTTCTCGGTAGTTGGCAACTTGTCAACACACAAAGCACGCAATAGGCAAGTCCATCATGAACCTTGCGTTTATAGCGAATACCCCGGGTATTGCATCGTCGAGTGCGCGGTGTCGCTGATCAGACCGTCGCATCTGCTTCACCGAGCAGCTGAGCTAACCCAAGATGAACACTCGCATAACTAGACCTTGCGAGACTAACTACACGCCCGCATCTTGCTCTTCGAGATGGGATAAAAATGGACACTTCTGTCGTGATTTGTAGCCTTGTACCATGAGGTTAAGAGCGCCCAATATAGGCCATATAAACAAGGCCCCCTGCGGCCATCGTGCTGTAAGCAGTTCACTTTATCGTATTTGAGCAAATCAAATTTGTATATCCAGGAAGCTACCTATTTTCTTTATTTACGATAAGCACGATCCACAACGCCTTTTGTATTCCTCACCATCATGAAATCATCGTGGTCCATCATATTTCTTCGTCATGCCCCGGCAACGGCATCCCACATGCATCGTTTGTGCTCCACCGACCAGCCACATATTTTAGCTACATCTATCCATGTAAATAAATGGAAAAAGAACAACAGAAATACTACGCTATTCAAGAAAGTTCTTCGCTTTGCTCGTATTTGACTTTGACCACTCGTCAAATTCAGTAAACCATGGCAGCAAATGCAGCCCGACAAAAAAAAAGAATAAAAAAGGCCCTAATACATACTAATACAATAAGCATCCATGTGACTGGGGTACCGTGCGTAAATGACAAAGAGAAATCGTCAAGATCATTATTCAAATCAAAGCAAGAACCAATGTGAGCCTATCGGATTAGCTGTGTTATTGGTGGTCCCAGGAACGCTTGAGACCACCCTCGTAGACGCTAGCGACAGACTCTTGCCACATGGCAGGAGTGATGAAGCTGGCCATATTAGGCACAAAAGGGGGTTCTGAGGTATTTTGGGCGCTTGCAGCCATGCCAGAGGTGGCAGTACGCGCATCAGACATCCCTGTGACATCTGATCCACCAGGTGACAGGCCAATCGCGGCATTGTTGTTGGTTTGCGGCGGCTCTACAGCAAACGTGTTATTCCATTGCCTGTAGTTATATTGTTAGCTCATAATCGTATCGTCTCATGTCATAATGGAACATACTCAAAAATACGCGACGGGTTCCATGCCACTTGGTCAGCGAGTCCCATAGTAGGTGGCATGGTGGCCACTGATGTCCCAACTTGCGGGATTAGCTCGAGAGCCTGAACAGCGGGCGATTCGTTCTTGCTGCCCATGGGCCCGGTTGAAATTGGCGGTGTGATTGGATTGTTGACGTAGCGCATGCTGCTGTGCGCGTCCAAGTGTTGATCCAAAGAGCCACTGCGACCACCATTGCCTTGGTACGCACCAATGGGCATGTGTGGGGGGCTCGATTTGTTGGATGGGTGCGGGCTACCATAGGGGAAGGATGGCTTCAGAACAAAGGCCCTGCGCGTGTCCGCGGAAAAGGCCTCGCGGACAGTGTCAATCTGTGTTTGCAGCTCGGGCATGGGCCACACTTCCATCACTTGCTCCATGATGCGCATATGCCGAGTGAAGAATTCCCTTGCATCCGAGTTGAGATCCGGGTCAGGGGAAACAATGGCAACCTGCAGAGTTAGAAAAATGTCGGCGTAGTGGTAATCAGAGTACATACCAGATGAATGACTATACAGGACAAGCCGGCATAGACGGTAAAGGAGAAGCCACGCTGCATGCATTGGAGACCAGACAGCCCAAAGTTGCTGATGATGGCTTCTTGCAGTCTGCAGATAGCCTTGGCAGCACTATAACTCTGCAGCATGTGTTGCTTCCACGCAACGCGATTGACATTAGGGTCGAGGAAGGAGAGCTGAGGCCGGACATAGAGGATGATGACAAGGTAATGGTAGCTGTGCAGGTTGCCGATAAAGCTGTTGGGCAACCAGGGCGGTGAGTTGTCTGCTGGAAAAGAAATGGCTAGGTCGGCTGGAAGGTCGCTGACATAGGAAGTAATCGTCTTATCGAGCTCTTGGAACTCAGGGTCGATTCCCCAGTCCTTGCGCTTACGGAGCCTGGCGTATGTGCTGCTCATGGTCCGAATGTTGCGAACAATGCGTACAAAGTAGACAAAATTTCTCGAGACTTGATACTCCGATTCGTCAGCATTAGGCATACGCTTTGGGATGGTAAAGTCAACAGTATCCATATTGACAGCGAGGTCGTGGCGGCCTTGAGGCGTTCCAACCATGACTTCGCATGCGAAGACTGTCAACCATATTCGGGTGCGTAGATGGCAATCGGTAGGGTTATGCTCGCAATCGATGCCGTCCTCGTGGTCCTCATAATGTTCATCAAGACCAAGATCCTTAGCCATCTGGACGCATTGCACCACAGTCATCCAAGAACGGAAGAAGTAGCCACGTTTAGGGGCACCTTCACGGGCCTTGAGTATCATGAGAAGAGCCTGAAGCGTGCTTAGCCGTGGCGTGTCCATGAACGCATCCGCATGTCGAGAGGCGAGACCGAGCCACTGCTGGCCCATGGCGGGCTCCTCGGCAAGCCGGCCCCCAATGGCGAAAATGGCCTCGAGAATGAGGGGCGAAATGGTTTCGCGGGCATGGCGCCATTGGTGATAGATGTGTGGCTTGTACAGTACAGGCACGTATGGGTGGACATGGGTAAAGTAGAGTTCGAGATAGTGTAGAGCAGTTTCCTCGTCCGGCATGAGCTCTGGGGGTATGCGGATTTTAGAACCGGAGCCAGAGAGAATGGGGGGGAGACCGCCATAGTCTTCATCGTCCTCGACAACCGGTTCATCGCCGCGGCGGAAAGAAGCTTTATTCCGTAGGTATGGGGCTAGATTTTGCATGAGTTGATGGAATGTGGGAAGGAGAGGTGAGCGCGCAAATCATACCGGTGCCGAGCTCATTGAGCTTGAGGGTTCCAAGAAGATCAGCCAAGTCTTGCTGTTGATAAGTTTCGGTGGTATAAGACTCGGGAGAGGCGCCAGGGTGATCAGGTGGGTTGAGCGAAGACGCGGGGAAATTATTTTGCGGCGCGTACGAGTTGGGATCGAGCATGACGGAAGGTGGGACAGTGGTATAGTTGATGTCATGCTGGGCCTGGGAAGGGTCGTAAGGAATGGTATAGAAGCCGGCAGGATTTTCAGTATAGCTTGACATTTGAGGATACATGTCTGGGACACTTTGATGAAGCTGCGGAGGGACCTGCATAGACATGTGGTGAAACTGATCTGGGGTAATGAAAGCCTCGTATGTGGTTGGATCGCCAGCGCTGTCGAAGCCGTTTGGTCGTACGCAGTGAAGTTTCAAGCGTACACATGCGGAACATGGCCATGAGTTTGTGGTAGCAGCATCACACTTGATCTTTCGTCGTCGGCATCCTTCGCAAGCTCGCATCACTAATGATCAGCAAGTTAGCGGAGGCCATGTAGGCGAGCGGAGTTGGCCGCGACCATCCAGAGTTCTTGGACTTACCTTTGAGTCGCTTGTGGCGGTTATGTTCGTCAACGAAGACATAGTCTGGCAGTGTCATGGTTAGGTAGGTGCGATAGAAGAGAGCATGTTTGCGCCGAGTCGACACATACTTTTTTGCATCTCGCGTTGCTGTTGATTCTGGGGAGGATACTGGCTGGGAGCAAATGTAAAGGACGACATTTCGGCGAAAGAGAAGCAGCCTTTGATTATGAAAAGATGTAGACGAGATTCGAAACCATTCGACCGGCATAGACGGCGGCAATTGAGGAGGGCGCAAAGGGGAACTGCGAGCAAACGGCAACGGCCATAGATCGAGCCAGTGGGGGTGGCAGCGTAGTAGGCGAGGTTAATCGATGTGGCGCAAGTATGTCAATGGAACGAGCACGAGACGGGATCGAAGGCCTGGGGAGTCGCAGAGGCGATCGCGGAACGGTAAAAGGGTGAGAAGAGGAAGAAGGCAAAGAGGCACGAGGTAGCAAAAAAAACTGCGACCAGAGACAAACAGTTGGTGGTAGGAAGAAGTTGTAGCTGAGTCGTGAGTCGGCGGGACGCAAAAGTACCAGTGGGTAGGAAGGCAGGTAAGAGAAGGTACATGCGACTTCGTGGAGTGCCTAACGTTATAACTTATAACTAGGTAGTGTATCGATTAGTGTGGCTCGTGTGGCGGCAGCGAGGAGCGCAGAAAAAAATTAAATAGGAAAAAGATGGCAAAATAAAAAGGAAAGAAGAGAAAAAAGAGGTGCGACAAGCGCCAGCCGATCAGTGTCGGGGTGTGAAGAATGGCGGAGGAGAGGCGCAAGAGCCAGCGTTAGTCGGGTAGCCAAAAGAGATGTAGAGCATTACAGCAGGCTACCACGCCCCAGGAAAATGATAAAACGGACGAAATGCCAGTGGGATGGTGTGGATGGATGAATCGCTGACTTGATAGAACGGATGGGTAATGGAGGATGAGATGGGATGGGATGATGGCGGCGGCGGCGGCGTGCGGGTGTTAAGGTGGGACAGGAGGTGAAAGGTAAGGTACTTTTCTTTTTTGCCTCCCCCAGTGGGCACTGCCCGTAATGGAAGGGCAATAGGTATTCAAGGTAGGCACTTTTTCAGTGGGCATTGCCTGTAATGGAAGCGCAATAGCGGTGATGGCAGGTCCACTGCAGGCGGGACTCAGTGAGTGATAGACTGAGAGTCAAGAGTCTGGAGGTATCAGCAACAGTGGGCCATATATGATGGGCGGAGATGAAGAAAAAAATCCATTTAAAAGTCGTGGTAAAGTACGGATCATGAAGGGGTATGTAGTTTGGAGGGCGTGTGTGCAAATGCTACACTGCTGGTAATTAATGACTGGTCACTGGTCAGCAAAGCATTAATGCAGCGAGCCAGTGACCAACCTGTTCATCAACGGTGCCTAACTAATGCAAGTACGAGGCTTGGAGCTGGCGGACAGGTTGGCAGGGCTGCGAGTTTGCTGGTGCGACAGGGCCAACTACGCCCACAGGAAGCGCGGGCGTTTTGGCTTGCGGACGTGCGGGCGGAATTGCATGCGTGGCGCTGCACTTTGAGGCAAAAGAGGGGGGCTCGTCTGGGCTGGGTTAGGCGGGTTTAAAAGGTTTGAGGGGGAGTGACAGGGGCCGAGGGCCTGTGAAAGCCACCAACACCAGGTTAATGGAGCTCCAGATTAGCTCGCGTTAGGGCCTGCTAGCCTGGCTAGACGAGCGCTGTAACCTGATGACGGAGCATGGCCACTGCAGTCTGCCAGTGGTCAGTCCCGAGTCCTGAGTCGTTTGATGATAATATTAGCGGCTCGGGGTAATAATGAAAAACAGGCCAGGACTTATTACTGTAATTGTTCCTTTCATTAATCTTGTTCTCACTTTCACTTTCATGCGCGGCTCTGCCCGTCATCCAGTATGTCCAACATCAACGACCATGACAAACGCAGCCCCCCCCCCCTTCCCCCAACCTCCACTCGGTTTTGTCTGTGCCCACCAGCCAAGACGACTCGGGATTAATGCTGCAACGCCGACTGCACATACCTAGTGCACAGTGCAGGCTGTACCTCTCTGCTGCCTGCCTGGAAAGGTCTTGTGGCGGCACCCGTGGGCGCCGTACCGTCTTTGCGTGTTCGAAGCACTGAACCAACACATTCGATCCAAGTGGCACATGACATGAGATGCCTTTATTAAGACTGGCTCGAATCTACAAATGCCGCTGCGACTAGCTGCCACCAACCCACCAACAATTGAGTCGACAACTGTCGGATTTAAATCACACCCTTTGCGACGAATCGCTGACCGGCGCTTGTCCAGCTTGCGACAGTGGATGGAGCACCACTCTGCTGATGGAGTCGGTCCTGTCAGCCCCCAGCCAGGTGAGATGAATGGATCAAGCACCAAGCCCATGCTGTCAGGCTGTGGAGTAGCCATCGACAACCTCCCTACCTCGATACTCTAATTTGACAGTTGCTTGCTTCCTTTTCCGTATCATGTGCACATCAGCTTCATTCAGCATCTACCAATCGATTGTCTCGTCAGGCCTCTGCTAGCTGCCTGCCTCTGCAGCCACCCGTCTTCCAAGTCTTCCAACGAATGGTACTCTTGTCATCAAGCTTCAGATTTTTCATCATGCGCATGGCGCAGTAAAGCCGACGGCTAGCATACACGCACAACACGTCCATTTCAGTCTGCTCCGCATTGCCCTTCAACCTTGAGAAAACTCGACCGATTTTTCTTGGTCTCGCACCAATGCCATCTCTTTACTTGTACGGGTGGTTGTGTTGCAGTCGCACATGCATCGACGACTCGCACGCCGCAGACGGCAGCATAGTTGTGGCGTCTGTTCATTGCCCGCGTAGGCGGCGGGGCGGGGCTGGTGCATGCGGGGAAGAGATTTGGCCAGCAAAAAGAACATGCTGGGCTGAGCCACCGTCTTGTTGCCGTCATGCGACAGCATTACGCATAGCTAAGGGTAAAATGAGACGATGATTGACAACCTGTCGTCCCCTATATGAGGTTTCGCAGTCCATAGCGTCCATCTATCATTGACAAGTAATCTGTACCAACCTTGACTTCCTATCTACATAGGGCATCAGACCCATGTCGACAGTAGCTAGCACGTTGGTCAGCAACCCCAAGTAAGGAGTAGACACTTGGCGAGGCAAACGCTCGTGAACATGTCCATGTAATGAAAGAAAGGGTCTTCGCAGCTGCCCTGGCTGCCGGCTGCCCACGCCACATCTCAACACAACGTACAGATTATTTACAACATCACCCCTTCATCCTCACAGATAAAACACCGACTGCTGCGTCTGCAATTTACATCCTGCTTCGCGTCGCTCCCCTTCTACTCATGCTGATCTTCTATACATCACTCACACCTTTTTCAATATGTACCGCCTTACCCTCCCGGATCGCTCGGCTCCTACAGCTCGAAGCATCTGCTACAAAACAAACAAGACGGCCGTCAATAACTGCGCGCTCATCATTAGCAGAACGCCGCACCTATAAGTGTAGCGATTCATCCGTCAACCTACCTCTGGCCTGCCGCACTATATATCAGAGAGCAGCACTACGCAATCGAGCGCCAATGTGTCTCGTCACAGCCTGTCGAGTTGTGTTCCTGGCGGCTCTTTGGAGTTGGCATGTGGCTGCTGCACCTGTCCACCCCAAGCCTCCACTAGCTTGGTAACTTGCAGAAGTCTGTTCTGGAACAAAGACGCTGCTGGCCGCCCCGATGACGCACTTATTATCAGAAAAAAGTTCCATGAACCCTCCTGTTGCGTCGCGCCACATATCAGGGACTCGGCTCACCTTTTAGTGCACTTGCGATCGCGACTGACCTACGCATACCAACAATATTCTTCGAATAGACCATTGTATTTGCAACCTGGCTGCAAGAAGGACGGCTCCAGCCCAAGACCATCAGCCAAATTTTGCACTTGATCAGATCGCAAATATGCCTTTGCTTGCTGGCGCGTCAGCCCACCGTCGCCAAGTCCGGGGTGTTAATAAAGCTCAACGAACGTGGCGCGTACATCCACTACTCACCAACGTTAACGCTCGCCACTGCTCCTTCAAAAACCGGCAATACCCAAGTTCGATAAAATTGGTCGCGAGGTAATGCTCGTGTGCAAGCCCTGTGTCGATCCATCCTCATGGCATCGGCACAATAATACATATAGGACGATCACTCTCTTCAGCTTCAACTCTGACACCAATAGCGATCTTGGCAACCCTGAGAATTTCTCATGGTTTGCAATCTGTACCCGTGTTTCTGGCTCACTGGCCACGCAAAGACTGGCAAGCCTGCTGTCACCTGCAGCCGCCCCGTACCTTGCAGCAACCACTTGGAGATGTTTGCCAAGCCATAACTACTGTATGAGACAAACCTGTTGCACCCGAAGCACAAGTGCATTGCAAACCCGACGTCACTTGGCTGTTGCTGGCTTGTTTCTAGCGGCCGCAGCCGTCAACTCTGTCTTTGACCTGCAACTGCTCCGTTGCTCCCGCCAATCACTTACCAGTACAACGTGACTTCGCGGTCTTGGTTCGTTGTCAGCTTCCGCAATCCGAGACCTTGTATCCATACCATTAACGTTCTTGGAACAAGTTTTGATTCTTCGGTGTACAAATCAAGCCATCGCCGTCCGCAGGTGCAACTCTGCATCAACAAAACGCCACTGCAAAAATTCCGTGTGAAAAGTCAAAATTCCCGCTTATACACCGCAAATTAACGCACTCAGTCGAAACCTTTCCACAATACATTCGAGACTAATCGGCATACCGAAAAGCGATGATAACCATGAGATACGAGGCATTGCATTAGTACATGCACTGAGCTTTGCTGGAAATTGTGGTGCTAGATGCTGCGTTACTGCGATAGTTACACTTCCACATGCACATCGGATGGGATGGCCCATGCAGTCTTCCGCTAACTTGCGGCCAAGTGGGCAACATAAACAAGATCCCACCCAGAAGAAAACGGCGAAGGCTCTGTGGAGACCCATGGCTTGACTTCGGCCTTTCTATTTTGCATTTTTATATCAGAGCTTTTGGCCGCGACAAGCTGGTTGGCAGACATGACAAACTTTCAACTTGCCATCACTACACAGTTATCCCCAATTTTCCCGCCACCACAACTCAAGACCAGAGCCTAAATCGCCCTGTGAGCCGAGGCAGATATGAGAAGGCTGAGGCCCAGGAAGCCAGGACAGTCGAATCCAATAAATTTTTCGTGTTGCCTACGGATCCCACGGTTCTCTTCCTGGCTCCCTGGCTCCCCACCCAGCCCCATGACAGATACAAGCTCGGCTCCCGGCGCCAGGCTACATCACGTAATGGAGTTGGTCACTTCTGATTCCTGAGTGGCTAAGTGGGAAACAAGACCATCCAAACTCCAGCAAATCGCGTTTCGGGCAGAAGACTGGCCAAGTGTGTTTCAGACAGAGTTGCCACCTGTGCAGCTCTAATTTGCTACCAACATTGCGGCTTAGACACTCGCAACACACACTCAGAGATGGCAAGCCATCTGCCCCTCTCGATGTCTAAATTGGGCGACAGGCGGCCAGTAGATGGATTAGTGGCGCAGAAGACAGTACTTGCATCTCCATCACATGCAATGTCGAGTACAAGCCCAATATGTATTACCTGAGCGCGACTGCATTCGTTCAGCCTGCCGAGGTTTGCGCCGTGATTGATGCTGCATGTTGCATGCTGCACAGCAGCGTGGCTGATCGCCCTTCCCAGCGTCATCAAAATCAAATACACCAATCGAACACAGTGCAAGCCAACTTGCGGGCGAGCTGCTGACGATCAACTGAAACGCAGCCTACGCAGCACGCCTTTCCACATGAGGAAGCTGCTGAAGAAGCCGTGTCACGCTGCGTCCATAATGAGTGATGACGATCTTGCCGGCTGCAGATTTCCCACATGATGCAAGGTTCCTGTCAGGAGATAATGAGTAGTTCTGTCAATCCGTTCTAAGTTCTTGCAATCACAGTTCCTAGCTTGCTAGCCTTGCCAGAGCCATAGCAGCACAACTCCTTGTAGCTTTCAATGTCGGGCCAGCAAGGATGCATATTTACGTGTCTCATAATTGTACTGAACAAAAAGAAGGTGGCTTTTCAGCCAAGCGACGACTGTCTCAGAGAGGCAGTCTGATGGCCAGGGGCCATATTAAATCAAGGTCCCAAGGCTGTGAGCTCACCAGTCATTGCACCAAAATGAAAGTACAGCAAAAATAGGCAACGAGACTGCATTATTATTACCGCGCGGAACAGGCAAGGTTTCGCCCCGGTGGCCGGTATCCGATCTGGGAAGAGCAAATATCTTTCGTCTCTACTTGCCTGCTTAATTATGCCGCTTTCCACATCTTATCATTGGGCTTTGCGTCACCACAACACACCTTATCGGCCATGCCGTATCTTAATCTTGCTGCCTTGTGGGAGCGCGGGCCCTTTGTGCTTACAGGTGGACATGCCTCGACCTCAGCAGCAACGCCACCATTTTACTTGAAAAGAGGAAAAACTGTTTGCCGTAGAGGGAGCCGAATCAATATTACTCCATACAGCAGGGCGGCAGAGAGGCACAAGATCAAGAGTGTGGTAAGATGCACGGACCGAACAGGGCGTGCGGACCAAAATGACAAGCCTGCATTGTCCATGTTACGTTGCCGTTCCCAATCCAGAAGCAAGCGAATTAGAGATGGCCGGGGTTTCGCGGCCGAGAACGGGATCGCTCTTGAATTCCGGGTAGTGGGATTTGTTAGGGCGCCGACTTGCGTATCAGTTCCAGCCAGGCAGGCTGTCGCGATGTTGTGCCCCTAATGAAGCGATGAACCGACTGTAGTCGCATCGTATTCGTGCCGCAGCATTTTGGTAACGGCCAAGATGCCAGTATTCGGACGTATCGGGTTGCCCATAATCTGTAGAAGAGCATTACCTATCGTGACGCTGCCACTGGCTACAGCGTGCGCAAAACAGCGGGGCTCCCAGGGTGTGGTTACTTGGGTTTGCATTACCTAGCATTGCATCACCGGTTTCTGCTCTTTGCCTTTGAAGAGACATTGTGAACAACCGTAACTAGACGACTCGGAAAAGCACCGCATCACCATAACCAAGATAGTTGACCCCAGAATTGTTAGAGAACGCAAAACCGATTCCGTTTCGACAAGTGGTTCACAGAGACGACTTTGCTACCCCTCCAATCGCACAAACATGTCCCCCGCCGCCCTCGACAACGCCAATCCGACGGTCCTGAACGCCTCGGAGCTGCCCACGCGCAAGCACAAGGTCGCCCCCCGGCGCGGGCCCGACTCCAAGTACACCGACATTATATTTGCGCGGCCCTCGTACCTGTCGACCCCGTTCTGCGGTGACGACTACGGCGCGGCCATTGCCTGGCCCCGCGGCGGTAGCGGCGGCGCCGATGATGGCTTCTCTGACGATGCCACACCCGAGCCGATTGATGAGCAAGAAATTTACGGTATACCCGTTCGACCATCTCCGCGCCCTTGCCGGCTCACAAGCTGACCTAGTCGTCGTGGTTTTAGACCTCATCTCCACCATTACCGACCCCGAACACCCCGTCTCGCTCGGCCAGCTTTCCGTCATCAACCTCGCCGACATTCGGCTAACACCTTTGCCCTCTTCTTCACACACCGCCGTCTCCGACTACAACGAAAACAATAACAACAGCGACACGCTCATTGACGTGTTTGTCGAGATTACGCCGACGATTACGCACTGCTCGCTCGCGACGATCCTCGGGCTCGCGGTGCGCGTGCGGCTGGAGCAGGCGCTGCCGCCGAATTACCGCGTCGACGTGCGCTGCAAGGAGAGCTCGCACGTGCAGGACGACCAGGTGAACAAGCAGCTCGCGGACAAGGAGCGCGTGGCGGCGGCGCTGGAAAATGACTCCCTCAGGGGCGTGCTGGACAAGATGCTCGAGACGTGCTACTGAGATTGGGGGTGAGAGAAGGTATGAAGAGCAAAACCACACAAGAGGAGACGCATACCGATGGGTGTCCTTGCGCCCGTCGTGGCTGCAAAGTCTCACTTGGCCGTCTCAGACGAAGAAGATGGAGTCGGAAAGGACATGCTCGTCCGGCAAATCCGCATCAAGCGTCCCGAGTGATAGGCATTGTCTTGCCGGGCACTCACGTTCAGGGCCCTTGCTGCATACATTTAATGCCGTTGGCAGGAAACCGGCACCAAGGACACACGGGCGGCTACAAGGCCTTCTACAACGTAGCGAGTCTCAATAAGCCGCACACGGTCGTACACGCTACATGTACATGTCTATGTACATGCATACAAATAGCAACGCTGCCTCAAAAGGGCCAAGTTATACAGGCTGCAGCAGTCTCAAGGCATTACAATATTCAATAGTTACGACGAAGAAGCTCATCTTATTTTACTTTTTTGCCTGTATTAAGTTGCAATGTAGCCATGAAGAGATTTCAACTCCCGAGACCGTACGCCGAGGCCTAAACTAAACATCTTCCACAAATCAACCATTCCATCTTTTGTACTCAAAATCATACAGCATTCATCTCCTCGAGACCCTCCACATTCTACAGCTCGCCCAGCATGCCGCTCTCCATCAAGCTCTGGTAAAACTCCGGTTCCAGGAATGTCTTGACGCTCACGTCCTCGCTGAGTCCCTTGCGCCGCCTCGTCTTGAGCACAAAGTCCCGCGCCGTCGCCTGCGCCGACGCCGGCTGCAGCGGCGGCACAACCTGCTCCCTGTCCAGCGGGTCGCCGGGCACGACGCTCCAGCTGTCAAGCACCATGCTGACCATGCTACTGCCCTGCGTCCTGATGCGCAGGTCCGTCTCGAAGCCAAACGAGTCCACGACGGGCAGCAAGCCGTTGACGCGGTACAACGGCGTGCCGGCGACGGGCCCGTCAGAGAGCACGTGGCCGCGGCGACGCGCGAGCACATTGTATACCTCCATGTAGGAGTCTTCCGGGCCCGTCACGGAGACGGCGTAGACGGGCTCCATGAGGCGCGGCGAGGCCATGAGAAAGGACGAGTAGCAGGCGCGGCGCGCCGTGGGGATGATTTGGCCGCCGCCGCGGAAAATGGCCTCGTTGGCGAGGACCACGTCGGTGATTTTGAATTTTGTGTTGCGAATCGGCTCCTCGCAGAGCGGGCCCTCGCGCGCGGCCCAGCTGAAGCCCTGCCGGATCGACTCGCGCACCGCGTTGAGCAGCTTCTTGTCGACCTCGGTCGGGATCGTGTCGTCTTGGAGGATGTTGGGGCCGGTATCATCCGGGCCAAAAGCCCAGATACTGCGCGCGGCGAGCTTATCCCAGCCGTGCTTCTCTTCGAAAAACTTGGCCGTTTTCCTGATGGGGTCGCGAATCTTGACTGCGCCCGTCTCAATGTCGACCGAAATACCCTTTTCTAGTTGCTCCGCCACCATGGTTATCTTGTTCTTCTTGTTCGGCGTAATGGCATAGCATTTGGTGGCTGACGTTTCCACGACGGTTTCGCAGAACCTGGTCACGGGGTCTGATACCTTGATATCCATGTCTGCGTATAGACGACGCAAGTCGTGCAGGACGCAGTCCATGTATAGCTCGCCGGTGCCAATGATGATGTGCTCGCCAGACTCCTCGACCTTCGTATTGAGGAGAGGGTACGACTTTTGAACCTTTCGTAAACCGTCAAGCATCTTGGGCAGCTCTGAGGGGTTGATGGGCTCAACGGCGACTTTAAGAACTGATTCTGTAAAGTGGCTGATGGGCTTGAAAATGTAGGCGTCCTCATCATCTTCTAGCGTGAGAGGTACAATTGTGGCCGTCTTGACTATTGAGTTGTCGACTCCGCCCAGTAGCACGAGATTACCCGCTGGTACGCCGTCGGTGGGAATATTATATCTCGTCTCGCCAATAAACACCTGATTAATCGTTGTCGTCGTCATATCTTCCTCATCGTCGAGCGAGTAGCCTTCTCCCAGCACCCTGACCTGCACGCCGGGTCGTGCCGTTCCACTCAGGACTCGACCAAAAGAGTAGAAGCTCTTGGCGTCGGGTTTGTTGAAAAGTTTAGTAATGTGCACGACAAGGGGCCCGTCTTGATTGCACTCCAGCATAGAGCGGGCAACTTTGCTATCCAGTGGTCCGGTATAGTGACGTTCCAGCAATCGCTGCGTCGACTCGACTGGTGAAGGTACATGCTGCACAAGCATGTCGACGAAGCTAGTAGAGGGCCCAAAAAATCGCTCGCATACAAGCTTTAAGATGACCTTGGCATCTGCCTTGTACTGTGCAGGTTTCAACTGAATGCCTAGAGACTCTAGGACGGGGCGTAAATCCTCTGGGCTGTCGCTGATGGAATGAGTAAAGATTTTGTAAATGGGTTCCAGCACAAAGTGGACGAATGATCTCGCGGTTCTATCCTCGAGTGGTTTGCGTGAAAAGGTTCGTTTCTTGGGGTTAAAGTAAACGTCTCCCCAGAGGCGCTTGGCCAAGTCCTCGGCGGGGACGTCGCTGTAGCTATCCGCGTACATCTTGGCAAACGACTGTAGCGTAAAGCACCATCCCAGATCCGTGCAGGCGAACAGAACATTTCCCTTCTCGGGGCTAATGCGCTTGGCTGTCGATGTGTTTGGGACGGTGTTTGTGATTATTGTGTTGACCTCCTCGATAACGTGTTTCAGTTTAAAGTAAGCGTCCTTGGGCGGCAGTCTCAGCTCCACGATGAGTCGGTCCAGTTTGTTGACAATCAACGTTAGCGGCAGATCCTGCAGGACGGCATGCTTGATGATTTGCTCCGTGTTCACCTGCACACCCTCCACCACATCAACGACCAAACAGACACCGTCCACTAGTCGGCAAGCAGCAGCAATCTCGTCGACAAAGTTGACGTGGCCTGGGGTGTCGATGACATTGATCAGATGCGACTTGCCCTTGGAGTTTGGCAGTACGAAGCTCATAGGCGACGATTTGAGGGAGAGGCCGCGTTCGCGTTCGAGGATATGGATGTCTGTGTATCGCAGCGCCTCGTCGCGCTTTCGGCCTACTCTCTTGTCCAGCTTCTCGAGGATGTCGTGTGTCTCTAGGACAAGCATGTCGGTGAAGGCCGTCTTTCCGTGATGCAAGTGACCAGCAAGCGCAACGTTTCGTATTTGGTCAGGAAAGTTCATCAGGTCCGTCATGAACTCGCGGCTGTAGTAGACGGGCGGAAGATCCTCCTCCTCAATGGTGAATTTTTTCGTCTCAATCGGGGCAATGATGGGTTGGGTGAGAGGTTGCGCATCCTCCTCTTCGACACGGGTCTCAACATCTTGACCATATACCTGCTCGGCGGTCGGATAGTACTGCTTGTCTTCGTGGAGGATCACGGCGTTGGAGGGGCCATCTGCACGCGTTCACATTCGTTTATTAGCTTGACAATGGTCAAATCAAGGGCGCATCGCGGCGCGCAACTTACCATCCACCTGCATGAGCTCGTCGTCATCCTCAACATCGCCGGCAGCATCATCGTAGACATAATCGCCGGCATCGACGCCCGCGTCGGAGCCTGCCTCCGACTCGGCTTCCTCGCCTATAAAATTGCCGAACCTAGTCGCGATGCGGTCAGCGCCGAGGTCTCGCTTGTAAGAATCAGACCAAATGCTCACTCGTCATATAGATCATCCATCTTGCGTTGGAATATATACAACTGCAGGGGTCAATGGCAGCTGCAAAATGAATGTACAGGCCTTGCTTGCAGCTCCAGTTGGCGTGGCGCGCAACGGCAACTTTTTCGAGCTCTGCTGCCAGTCGCGAAGCGTCACGTGGAGATAACAGTAGGCTTATCGCGGCAGGCGGGATTGAGAACCTCCACTGCGCAACCGCCAACTTCGCTAAGTATGACAGGCGGGTCTCAGCGCTCCGCAGGCCTGTAATACTCTTTGACCCTGTAACTAGGTAGGTACCGTACCTTACTTACTCTGTAAATTTACCGGACCTTACCGGACTAAGACTGGCGCCAGCGACTTGAGACCAACCAACGTGGCGCGATCGCTTTCGAGTCTCTACGATTACGAGCTGCAAGGGACAGCGAAAGAACAGAAGCTGATGAATACAGACGATCAGAAAAATGAAAAGAAGAAACAGTGCAAAAAAAAAAAAGCAAGTAAGAAAAACAAATAAGGAAAAAGTAAGGAAAACATAAATCTGAGATATACGAAAGAAGATTCAGTTCGAGTAGAGCGCAGTTGCATTTAGTCACCCACCGACGAATGTACGAGGCCATGGCCGATTGCCATGCAAAAAAAGTGACAGGTTACTTGTATCCTGTTATCAATCTTCATTATCCCAAGTCTTGGGCATTTTTTTTTTCATTTTTTTTTTACTTGATTTGCCAAACATATAGCTCATTGCCGTCCCACCAAATGCCACATCATAACGCCAATCAGCCGGCAGTGTTCCGAATACGGCGCCAAAATCGTTTACAGCCCCTCCTTCGAACCCGCTTGTTGAGAAATCCCGAGTGTCGGTAAATATACACATGGTCCTGCTCGGATTTAGACCAACTTGTAGCCTCACCTCCAGTAACTAGCTTTTCCCCCTTTTTTCATCTATTTGAACCATTTCCTCGCGACCTCTTTTCTTCTCTTCCAAGCCGCTTTTCGTTCTTCATATTCACCCCCTTTACAAAGCAAGCAGGATACAACCCCGCCAAAATGTCCAATCTTCCTCCCGTCTACATCGTCTCGGCCGCCCGAACCCCCATCGGCTCGTTCCTCGGGTTCGTAGCTCCCCTCACTCGCCGCAGCGACACCGTTCAAACTCTGGGCACAACTTGTTGCAGCATGTAAAACGGCTACTGACGAGAACAAACAGCTCCCTCTCCAGCTTGAGCGCCACTCAGCTCGGCTCCGTCGCCATCAAGGGTAATATAGCAGTTGCCCCTCGTCGACAGTATCGAACGCGTCCCAGCAAGCTAACCACCACCACAAGGTGCCGTCGAGCGTGCCGGTATCAAGCCCGAAGAGGTCGAAGAGGTCTACTTTGGCAATGTCCTCTCCGCTGGGTACGGACAACCCACCCTGCTTCCCACCACAACCATACAATCAATATTACTAACACCCGCGCCCAACCAAAACAGCCTCGGCCAGGGCCCTGCTCGCCAGTGCGCCATCGGCGCTGGCCTGCCCCAGTCGACCATTTGCACCACCGTTAACAAGGTCTGCGCCTCGTCCCTCAAGGCCATTGTCCTCGGCGCGCAAAACATTATGCTCGGCACCTCGTCCGTCGTCGTCGCCGGCGGCACCGAATCCATGTCCAACACCCCGCACTACCTGCCCAACCTCCGCAACGGCGCCAAGTACGGCGACCAGACGCTCGTCGACGGCGTCCTCAAGGACGGACTGACCGACGCCTTCCGAAAGGAGCACATGGGCCTCGCCGGCGAGCTCTGCGCCTCGGACAATGACCTCTCACGCGCCGCCCAGGACGAGTACGCCATCAACTCGTACAAAAAGGCCCAGGCTGCCACCGCCGCCGGCCTCTTCAAGGAGATTGTCCCCGTCGAGGTCCCCGGCGGACGCGGCAAGCCCAACATTGTTGTCGACAAGGACGACGAGGTCAAGAACCTCAACGAGGACAAGCTCAAGGCCATGCGCCCGGCCTTCAAGTCGGACGGCACCATCACCGCCCCCAACGCCGCCCCCATCAATGACGGCGCCGCCGCTGTCGTCCTCATGTCCGAGGCCAAGGTCAAGGAGCTCGGCGTTACGCCCATTGCCAAGATCCTCGGCTGGGGCGACGCCGAGCGCGAGCCCGAGCGCTTCACCGTCGCGCCCGCCCTCGCCATCCCCAAGGCCATCAAGCACGCCGGCCTCACCGACAAGGACGTCGACTACTACGAGATCAACGAGGCCTTTTCCGTCGTCGCCCTCGCCAACCTGAAGCAGCTCAACCTGTCGGCCGACAAGGTCAACGTCTACGGCGGCTCCGTCGCCATCGGCCACCCGCTGGGCTGCTCTGGCGCCCGCGTCCTCACCACCCTCACCTCTGTCCTCAAGGAGAAGAAGGCCAAGATTGGCTGCGTCGGCATCTGCAACGGCGGCGGCGGCGCCTCTGCCCTGGTCATTGAGAATCTTCAGTAAAACTCGCTGCCGAAAGAAGCAAGCCAGAAAAAAAAAAAAAAAGTAAATGATTGAATGAAGACATGTCGTCCTACTGGGCAAGACCCCTCCCCCTTTGGTCATGTTGCGAAAATAAAAAAAAGTTATGCATACAAACAGGACATGCCAATGCAGTCTCTGGTCATTATATACATTTAATAAAAGAACAAAAATTGAATCCATCGTCTCGACTTTCAGAGGCAGCTTTGTTCTGGTGATGTCAACATGTGCTTGTGTGAGCGTCGCAATCTCACACTCAACAAACACCCTTTACTTGTCCGAGCAGAACTTGACTTTCTTTAGAGACAGAGCCACCATAAGAATTTCTTTGGGTTTACAAAGCTCGGAGCCACAGAGTACAACTGATATGTAATGCCGGATTCCCGATTGAATTTGAACTTACTAAAAAAAGAAAAAAAAAAACACAATAAACACAATAAACGCACGACGTGATGAGAGAAACCATAAGCAACCAAATCGAGGAACCCCTCCAACCTTTTACACAAGAAAATCCAAGGGAGAATACACACGCAGAAGAAGGCTCAAGCTCGGTCCCGACTTTCCCTGCCAAAAAGACGCAAATAAAAAATTCCATAAACAACCTGCTAGAAAACACCCCACACTTGCTCTAGCCACAGCAGAGTTTCCTAATTCATGCAGTGCTATTGCATCTCGATGTCTTCCCCCGCGTACGGAGGCGCAATGCCCTCGTCCACCCACTTGACAAAATTCTTATTTTGCTCCTGTACCTCCTCCGGGCTCATATCCTTGGTCCACGGGGGGTTGTGCACCATCTTCTCCAAGAGCTTGCTCTCGCGGTGGCGGCTCAGGGCCGCTGTGAATTTTTCGCGGCGCTCGCGCTGCTCCTTGGTCTTGGGCACGTTGTCGTAGATGAAATACTCAGAGGTCCCCGGCGCCCAAACCATCTTAGAGCTCGTCAGGCAGATGGAAATGGTCAAGTTTTCGTCATATGCTAGAGGCTTGGGAATGCTCTCTCCGTCAGACTCGGCATCGCCCGAAGGCAGGTTCCTCGTGAGCACTGTCTTTTGTAGCCTCGAGCGGGGGATGCCTTCTGTTGGCTCGACGCGAATAAAGGATGAAATGTAGTATTGCCATCGCTCGCGAAGCTTCATCTCGTCCATGTAAAACGTCGTCTCGTCACGCTGCAGCCAGCGAATAGTGGCCTCTGATCTCTGGGGAAACTAGAGTCCATGTCAGCACTTGCGTTCGCAACCGGTAATTGAATGACTTACCCAGCAAACGACGAAAATATCGCCGTCCTTGACACACTTTTCTGCAAACTTCCTGGCGCTAATCTCAGTCTGGTAGCTCGTCTCCTCCTTGTCCCGGCTGTTGAGATATTGCTGAATGAGGTCAGGCGTCTTCTCCTTGACGTCGGTGCTGCTGCAAGTGAGAGCAAGTCGGCACAGAGTCTTAAGAAGATCCTGGATAGTGTACAGTTTCCAGCCATTGCGGAGGTAGTAGTGCCTCATAACATCCTGAAAACGGTTCTCGTCGACGTCGCCGGTGATGTAGTCCTCGATGAGCTCCATGGTTTTGGGCCAGAATGCTTCAGGCGCTTCGTTGGCATCAAAAAAAGTCATGCGGTTCTCGGTAAAACCAATGTCCCCAGCAGGTTTGGGTCGGCTCAGTCGGGCGATTTCTTTAGAAACCCTCTCGGAGCTGCCCTTGATATCTTGAAGACGCTCATATAGTTGATGAAATATGCTGAAGAATACAAACAGCGTCTGATTGCAGAAGAAGTTGTACCAGGGCCGGCTAAAGAACCCATCAGCCTTGAGCTCGCCGTCGCCGTCCAACAGGCCGCTGTCAGAACCAGTCACCACAGGCTTAGGCACACTGGGCATCCAGCGCTCGTTGGACATGTCAGGAGTAGGCGCCTCATCGGGCACGTCGGCCATTTCCTCCTCATTCGTCGGGGTGACATCGGGCGTGGTCTCTTTGCTCCCCGATGTGCTATCCTCCTTATGATTCCGGGGTTTGCTGCCGATACGGCCCGGATCGAGGACCCCTCTAAGCAAATCGCCCTTCTTTCCGTTCCTTCGGCTGCGGCCGTTTGTCAGCTCAGCGGGTGTATTGTCTTCGATTTCCTCCTCGCCAGAGTCAGGCTGCATCCTGGGTACTCGCTCCTGAACCACGTCGTCAGGAAGGTCGAAGAAGGCCGGGATGAACATTTCGAAAAACTCCAAAATCCTTTCTTTTTCTTGCGTGCTGTGCTGGCCATTGTGCATGCTGTAGAGCATCATCAGACGGAGAAGGTCCATAATGGCATCCTTGTCAGAAAAGTTCCAGGCGAATTGGTGGCGCGGAGCTTTGCCCTTGAGTGCTCGCTCGCGGCGCTGCTCTTCATGCTTCGTCTTAATGACATCGACCAAGTGCTTTGCGGTCAAATTGCGTTTGTCTGTTGCCTTGACCGAAATGCCCATGTGATCAAGACTCTTGAGATGCATGTTCTCGGTCTGCGCATGCCAAACCTTCTCCCATTCTCGCTGTGAGAAGCGCCACTCCTCATCCTTTTGCTTCATTCTGGCCAGCAAGACAGGAACAACGTCAAAAGGGTGGCTGTACATGTCGTTGACCACATCGATTCCGCGCTCTCCATAGATCTTCTTACAGATACGCTTGAAAATCGATGTACTCTGTCCGACAAGTGCGCCAGGCATGTGGAAAGACTCTCTTTCGGACGGTGTCATGGCCAGCATCTGCTGGGCGATTGGCTCCAGGAGTTGGATACACTTGAGGTTGGCCTCAATGTAGAAATCATAGTCGTGGCGCTCTTCTTCAATGCGATGAAGACCTTCTTCGAACAAGTTCTTACGATGGGCGACGAATCCAGAGTCTTCACTGGCCCAGGTCGGGTGCGAAGCCCACTGGTCATTGAGAACCGAGTTGCAGAGCTCATCACGGCCGCTGCAGGGCTTGAGGCGCTCCCTCTTAGGCAAGAGTCTGTAGCTTGGACCGTATCCTCGGCAGTTGCTCAGTGAAATTTTATCGGTAGGAGCAGCAGGACGATTATCGATCATAACATCTTGGGTATCAAAGCCCACAAACGCTTTCCAGAAAGCCATCAAGTCGGGATTCGAGTTGATAAAGACTGCACCCTTGTGGAAGAGTGTGTTTCTGTCAATAACGTTTTGACTGAAGAGATTGCAGAGCTTCAAGAACTCGTTCATGGAAGATCGATTGCTGAGATATTTCTTGACCTTTTCAAAAAAGGCTATTTCTTCCATGCTAGTTGTAGTGGAAGTTCGAGGAGGGTATGGCTCGGGCATAACTGGCGTCAAGGTGGGCTCAATCGACGACCCATCCGCAGCGCCGCGAGCGTGGCTTAATCTTGGTCGTTTGCCATTGACAGCAGCAGCTTGCAGACGAGGCTGGGAGGTCACCTCGGCGAGCAAAGGAACTCCTCCAGCAGCCGATTTGTCGTTTCTCGCGCGTTTTTTATCCTTGCTAGCGCTAGCTGGAGGCGCAAAGCTTCCTAGTGGAGGCATCTTCTGTCCGTCTCTGGCACCAGGCTGCTGACCAGCGCCGCCAGCCAGAACATCTTCGGCTCTGGCGGCGGCCGCCTTTGCTTGTCCGGCAGTCTCTGGGAGGAACTGCTTAAAGTCTTCCAGCAAGTCAGGCGCAGCATTGAACAATGTGGTAACTTGCGCATAGACATCTTGGATCGGTTTTTGCTCCCGCTGGTATGTTTGCAGAATCTCCAAGAACTGCTTATATATTTCCGGCTTGTCCTGGAATCGGTTTTTGATCTTGTTGACGTAGCTGATAGCGTGGTTGAACTCGACGGGGCCGCGTCGCTCCATACCTGCTTGGGCTGCTGCAGAACCATTGAGACTAGCTGGGCCAGGCGTGCTACGCCCAGTAGCGGCATTCGGACCAGCAGGCCCAGGAGCTTGAGAGCCAGCGCGGTGTCCTGCGACCTCATATCCGCCGCTCTGGGCGGCTGCCTGTACGAACAGGCTTCCACCGTTCTGAGCCGGCGCGCTGAAATTGGCTTCGGGTGACCTCTGGGGCCATTGACCACCACGCTCGGGAAAGATGGACTGGCTAGGGCCATGGCTATCGGGAGGACCACCCCGTCCTGCGATACTTTGGATAGTTGTACCCATGGGTGTAGTGACTCTGATTGTATTGGGATCGTTACCAGCGCCGCACTCGATTCTGTATCCCGGGGGTAAAAATGTGTTGAAGCCTTGAATTAGGTTGGGGTGGCCTGCAAACAGCTCGGAAACTCGGTTGATAACGCCGGGTGTATCGATACTATTCTACAATGTTAGCTCTGTCACCACCAAGGGAGAATAGTCTGCACTCACGCCTGAGACTTGAAGTCCTTCATAATGTCGAGAAAGCGGTTATAAACATCGGGCTGATCATGGAATTGAACTTTGACCTGGTCCAGGTACGTCAAAGCATCCTGTAACATTCAGTTAGCGCTTTACATTTCATGGTAAACAGCGACCGCGCGAAAAGTTTTCCAACACGCATAACCACAAAGGCCTGTGAGTCTGCTTGCCGTGCCAAGGACAATGCGCGCTGTTCTTGTTTCAATATCCTTACATTAAGAATGGGTTGCTGGCCTTGCGTGATGCCGCCTGGAATCTGAGAGCCACCTGGTGGTGGTACATTGACCATGGGCGCGCCCTGCTGGCCTGGTCGCTGGGCGTCTTGCGGTGGCTGTGGCTGCTGTTGCAAAGGGCCACCAAAGACTGATCCGGTACCAGGTGGCGGCGGCGGCGGGCCGCCCTGGGCGGGCTGTCCGTGAGCCATCGATCCGTAACCTGGATGCTGACCGCTCGCACCTGGCCCGCCGTGCTGGAGAGGACGCGAGTGGTCATTCGGTGGCGGTGGGCCGCCGTAGTTTTGCATCGGGCCTGAGGAACCGCCAAGCGGCATAGCAGATGTGTTGCCGTTATGGTTCGCCAGCAAGCCGCCCGGACTGTGTATCGCGCCAGGGATGCGCGACGCAACGGGTTGGTGTATGGGAATCGAACCGGCACTGCTCTGGTGTGCGGACTGGAACCGGTCGGCGGCTTCGCGATCCCGCTCGCGCTCTCTCTCGCGCTCCTGGTCCCGTCTCATAATATCGTCGTGCTGTTGCTGCATGACGCGGTGACGTTCCTCCATTTCACTGGTGTATGGCGCGCCGCCGGACTGGACTTGGTGGCTCTGGTTGCTGTTCATGCTGGGGGCTGTAGCCGCAAACAAAGGACACAGAAAAAAAAGTCAGCCATGTCGTTCCCATACGTTGTTCATCATTCATCCGACCGCGATTCACCGGCACCCGCGGGGTGCATGCGCTGGGTGCAGCCTAAAAAGCCCGTCCGTTGCGTTTTTCGACCAGCCGACAACGCAAGCTTCAGGAGGATGTGTCGCGCGCGATCGCGAGCAAGAATAGATGGTACTCACAGCTTGAGGGGGGCACAGCTAGGCCAGTGAATATCTACATGGAGATCAGAGAGCTCGTATAGAAAAGGCTGTCAAGTTAAAGAGCTGCTGCAAAGAGAATAGATGCTTGGTGGAGGGGGAAACAAAACGCCAGCCGTGGGTGCAGAACCTGGGAAGCTCACCCAGGATGGAGGGCAACCAGCCAGGACCAGATCTGTCGGGGCCATTACACAAGCCTAGCGCGGAGTGTTCCGCATCACGTGCTGATAAGAGTTCTTTATCGCCCTGATGCGGAAAGTGTGACAAGCCGTGTCGCGCTGCGCTAGTCCTAATATGCGCTAGTCCTAATAAATAAACGGAAATCAGCCTCAAACGCGAACGGTTCTCACAGGAAAGGTATCTACGAATAGGTATGGTATTCAGTAGAGCAGCGAAGTTTGTAGAGTAGAGCAAAAATATGATGATGTAAATCCATCTGGTCATTATCAACTCAAAGGAATTAGTAAAGAAACATGACTGTATCCAAAGTAAGCCTTGTAGCGAAATATTCTGGCACTAGTCACTCACTCTACCGTACTTGGTCTCGACTACCTATGTAGTTAGTGCAAAAATTCGCGCTGCACCAAGCCGTTCCTATGGCTGGCCCTGACATGTACCGAATCTAATAAGCGTTTTCTACTTGTAGACCATGGAGAAAGTATAACACTTTTTAGTCAAAAATTGTCAATGTCGCTTATTAAAACCTATCAAGATGTACGGCTACATTGGCCGCTCTGTACATTGATTCTTGACAGACGTGATAGCGCGCGAGACAGCCCGACTCACTCTGTCCACTTCACACAGCTCCAACAGAGGATGAAGCGGCAGGCTCAGCACACGTTCCGCAAGCCAGTCCGTATTTTCCAGTCGCTGGCAGTCGTCGAGTAAATATTTTTGGAAAGCCTTTTGTCGGTGCAGAGGAAGCGCTGGATAGACTTTGGACTGTATTCCGCAAGAGCGCAGCGCTTCTTGGACGTCTTCTCGCTGCGCCTTGTTCTCGAGCGTAATCGTGAACAAGCCCCAGGCGTGGTCGTCCCAAGCGGCACGCGAGCATGGAAGCCCAACGACTCCTTCCAATTGTGCTCGGTAGCGAAGTGCAACTGCTTTTCGATGCTGGACCTCTTTGTCAAAGTTTGTCAACTTGCCGAGGAGCACCGCGCATTGGATAGAGCCAAGCCGCCCGTTGAGTCCTACGCGGATGCTTTGCTCCTTGGTACTGTCTGTGCCATGCCATCTGATTGACTTCCACTTCTCAAACAACTCAGGGTCATCGGTGAACAACGCACCGCCGTCTCCAAAAGCGCCGAGTGATTTTGTCGGGAAAAAGCTAGTAGCCGTCACAGGGGCCAAAGCTCCAACCCTCTTGCCGCTTTGTGAGCCACCGAAAGATTGCGCGGCGTCCGCGATGAGAGTCATGCTGAACTCGTCTGCCAACGGTAACAAATCATGGTAGGGTGCTGGTAAACCATAGTAATCGACGGCGAGCACCACACGAGGAGTGAGCTTGCCTTGACGCTGTACTTGGTCAATCGCGCGTCGTAGCTCGCGCGCAGACATGTTGCGTGTTTCACGGCTAACATCCGTAAAAACGGGTGTAGCGCCGGCCAATATTACCGCATTGCAGGTTGCCATATATGTGTTGGCGGGCAGGAACACAGCATCGTCGGTGGTGAGATCCTCACCGAGCAGCGCAATCATCAAAGCCGTAGTACCACTGGATGCTGTCAAACAGTAGTTTACGCCTGCGTACGCAGCGAGTTCACGTTCCAGATCCTTGACTTCTGGACCATCTATGTACTGTAAATGATGAAGTACCATGCGAATTCGGCGTTCAGCATCGGCTCGATGGTCAGGCGAAGCCAAATTAATGTTGAATAGGCTGATGCTGTCGGTTGGCTGAGCCACTATCGCGTCGGTGGCCACATGTCTTTTGGCCTCCTGCTCTTGAGCATCCGGTGTTGTAGCCGATAAAGATGCTGTAATAATGTCCAAGGCAATTGAGAGGGCACGATACCCGTCGCGCGCGGATACCAACGGGGTCATTCCCGTCCGCACACTCGTGACAAAACTTTCGAGTGCTGTTTTGAGGGGATCATTTTTCAAGGTGCCACCACCATCGAGATGGCCAGCACCGCTATGGAGATTTCGGAAAGGTAATTTTCTCGAGTCGGTGAAGCGTCCAGCTAGAAAGTCGAGAAACAGATTGCCTTGGCCATACTCGACTTTGGTCCAACGCTCTTGCTTCACGGCTATTCGGCTTGCGTAAAATTTGACGGGGACTCCCCCAAATTCGACCATGGCCGAGATTGTATCTCTGGAACCGGAAGCGAATACAAGCTTGATGGTTCCTGGTATTAATTGGAGAACTAGGTCTATATCGTGAACCATGAGATCCAAAGCGACGTGAACGTCATTGCAGCGTCCGTCTTCAGTGCTGGTGCGACGACACTGGATCGAGGTCGGTACATCAATTGCTCCAGCCCACAGATGAGAAGTAAGAAACCGCTCTTGATGTCCGACCTGGAGAATTCGGTCATTGTCTGCAGCTGCATCAATTATGCGTCTAGCGTCAGCAAGGTTTGCAGAAAGAGGTTTCTCGAGGTAGACGTCGATGCCATTTCTGAGACAAAAGATGGCGGCATTTACATGCGCCGTTGCTGGACTAGTCACAGATACAATGTCGACTTTTCCGACAAGATCTCTGTAATCTGTCAGAGCAAGGCAGTTGAATTTCGCGGCAGCCCTTTTTGCTACTTCACCGGATGTGTCGACCACAGCAACGAGTGTAGCATCGAGCATGGCGGCATATTTGTTCGCGTGGAACATTCCAAACTTGCCAAGACCTATTACCCCGGCCCGTAGCTCGCCAAGCTTTTCTCGGTCATTTCTCGTTGCATTCGTGGACATTGTACTATCATCGATGGGGCGTCGCGTTCGTGGCTTGTATGCTTCTGCAGCAGCGGTCACTAGATGAGAGATCACTTCAGAAGGGACCGACGTATCTGAAATTGGCAGTGTAGAGTGAAGAAGAAAAGATGCATTGGTGGGGGAAATTTAGAGGTATATACGAGTAGAGTCAGGTGCATCAGTTCAGCTGTGCGTACGCAGGCTTCATAATAGCACTCAATAACACACGCAGCTCAGACGGCTGCAAGATGAGTATAGCTCTTCTCGGGCTATTTTTTCTCGTCTTTGTAGTGTACTACTCGCCGCATTGTTTCGTTTTCATCAGCTTCTTTGACCCCAGAAAGCCTTGGTAGCAGGCAAGCTGGGGTAGTCGCCGGGCGACATTGAGCGATCGAGAGTCGATCCAAGTCGCAGTGCGTCAGTCGTGCTCACCGGGTATACATCAAGGCAACACAAAACAGGTAGCTCACTGTCTTTATTTTTTTCTATTCTTTTCTTACTTTAATACAGCAGACATGTCACATCTCATTATAAAGTCGTATCTATAAAACGCGTCAAGCCATGGTAGATCGGGCAATTTTTTATTCTCCGATATGCAATAATTCCAAAACGTAGTACGTCATAATATGAACGGAGAATTTATCTTGACAGGAAAACACAATCACTCCGATGTTATCAATATATATAATACGTTTTGCAGAAAAGCAATATGGTATAACTCATCTAGTTAAGCTTGGCAATTATCACTGACGAAAAAATATCCGATTCTAGATCTTGCAGCTCTGCATTTGGCTGAACCGTAGATTGAGGCTGTTGCGACAATATGTAGTGCATAAGCGGTCACCCGAACACATCTTCTCATAACCTGTCCGAGAATCTGAGGTGATATAAATTTGGTGACACCTAGCTGTGGTCCAATGCAGCCTCTTTTCCTCTACATCATCCATACGACGCGCCGTCTCTAGTAAATTTTAGATAGCTCTCGTCATGGGCCACTTCAAGCAACATCCATCCGCTGCGATTCATCCTACAAGTGTCATCCATCGAGATTGCATTATTGGCCGCAACGTTTCAATTGGCCCATTTTGTTACATTGGAGATGATGTGTCTATCGGGGACAATACCGTCCTCGCCAGTCACGTAACGATACAGTCCTCCACTACAATTGCCAGTAATTGCACAATATATCCACAGGCTGCATTAGGTGGTCCGCCTCAGGATAAAAAGACTGCAGGCCAGCAATGCGGGCTAGTCATTGGGCACGGAGTCATCATCCGAGAGTGTGCCACCATTCACACTGGTGCACAAGATGGTGGAAACGGCTTCACCACCATCGGTGACAATTGCTTGATCATGGCCAATGCCCACGTGGGCCACAACTGTCGGTTGGAGGATGATGTGGTCATTGTGACGGGCGCCGCGGTTGGCGGCCATGCTTTCATTGGCAAAGGTGCCGTCATCTCAGGCCAAGCTGCAGTCGTCCAGTGGTGCCGTGTCGGGCAACTGGCTTTTGTCGCTGCCGGTAGCATAGTTACAAGAAATGTGTTGCCTTTTACAACTGTCCACGGGTTCCGCGCACGGCCGGTAGGGGTGAATACAGAAGGTCTGAGGCGACATGGCTGGACACCAGACAGGATTAGAGTGGTTGCCGGCGCGTTGAAGAAGTATATTGAAGGAGGAGAGAGAGCCTTGGTCGGCTTGTTGCAAGAGTCTGCGCATGCATCCGATATCGCCGACATGGTAGACTTTGTACTAGCCGGGTCTCCTGGCGTTTCAGGGTCAGAACCAGCTGCTGGTGATAAAGCCGCGAAATTGTAGATGGTTATTGAAAGACACAGTCTACAATGAGGAATAGTAATGTTAATTACACTAAATAAATTTAATGCATATTATTTATAAATTAGAGTATCTCTTAAAACTACAGTGTACTGAGTGAGATGGCCAAGTATTGTATGCCGGGCTGGTACTGACAAGGAAGTGCGACGTACCTATAGGGCCTAATCTGTTTCATCGGACAGGTGTTATACTTGGCTGGGGGGAGAGAAAACATGGCAGATTTACCGGTAATACCATGGCATTGGGGTTTGCTCGAATCATGCCAAGACTTGGCGGTATTTACCGGACCGATTCTGACTCGTACGAGACCATTCCGTTCACTATGGCGTATCTTGCTTGCTACCCTTTACGAGGACCCTGTCAATTAGTGATGGAGAGATTGTAATTTTCTTAGTATGCAAAGTAGTCAAAATAGGTCAAGAGTTCGATTTGAGGCACTCTGATAGCGTTTGGGAAGAAAGCTTCAGACCCGTGGTGCAACGGAAGACATCCAACCCCAAGCACACGACATTGATTTCCATAGACCCCATTCTGCGACCCAGTACGTGCTTTCAAGTCATCATGATTATATAACGCCTTTGAGTAAATCAATACAACCTTCACCATCACAAGCAACATCACGAGCAATGACTTTGCACAGTCTCTTTGTGTGACAAGTCTCTGTTGACGGGGCTTCGAGCATGACACTCTACTCTGTAGTGACATCAAAATTCCATCGTTCTAAATGACTAAAAGGTGAAGAGAAACTAAGCTATGTAGATATAAGACTATCTAGGCTTTAACTTGGTAGGCTTTCCAACTCACTCAAGACTCGCCCAGCAGCTCACGAAAGACATTCGTAGCACAATGAATGTCTCCCTTGCGGTTGTAGTAGTTCAGGTCATCTACAAAATCAACCTTATAGCCGGCCTGCTTATACACCATTTCCACAGCATGCTGAAGAACATCCACACCCGCAGCGTCAAGCGGGCCCCATTGCTTTGGTGCCATGTAGAGTGAGTCGGCCATGACGAGCCCATTAATGGCATTAGGAAATATAGCAGCGGCCTGAAAGTCTCCGTTGGAAGGAACTGCAGGATCTTTAACCCTACCATAGAGCACCGGAACGCGCAGGACATCACTGTCCGAGATGCCAGTCTCCCGCTTAAGCATCTCAATCGTACCTCGAATACGTCGCGCGCACTCCTCGTTTATCTGTATAAATTCAGTGTTGACTAGTTGATCTATTGTGCCAAAGGAGTGGAGATCGCTCAACGGTTGAGACGAATACGAGCCGTTGCCGCGCCCTGCCGCCTGAGCATCCTGTAGGACTCGAACAGCCCCGATCGGATCGCTGACCATGACGCGCCACTTGAGAGGAGTCTCGGCCGGTAAGAATTGCAGAAATTCATCGACGTGCTGAACCTCGAGCCACGTCGTGTCCACAAGGAGAGGATCCTGCATCTCCTGGGCCTGAAGGAACGGCAGTGATAGCGGCACTCTGCCCGCGGTCTGGTTGGCACCCACGACGATCCGCCCGGCCGAAAAGTTCCTGCCGTTAAACTCATATGGCGGGATTGTCTCGAGATTTCCCATGGAATCCAACGTCTCCGCATTATCTTCGGGGGGCAGCACGTCTGTTACCATTCCAACGCCAGTAGAGCGAATCTGCTGGGCCACGGCTGATGGCCCCAGAATACTGCCAAGCTTCATTGGCGCCGGCAGTATGATTGGTAAGTTGATAGTTGAGCCGTTTGGCCCAGGGATGCTGGCGTACATTGTCTCGAAGAGATCTTGAATGAACCCGCTGATCCACCACATCTCGTGGATCGGTTCATTGAGCCCGACAGACTTCGCGCTTGATGCAACTCCATCAAGTGTCACCTTGTATTCGGCCAGATCTGTGTCCTTTGAGGCAAAGACCTTTGTAACCCGCTGTAGATGGTTCTGCGTGACCAATGGAGCGACCCGTAGCATGACTGAATCAGTGGAAGTCGTCTCCCCGTCGGTCACGACCAGCTGAACTGTTACTCTTCCGTCCCATGGCCGAATGGTGGCGGCATCAGGCTCGGCTACCAAATGACCTCGAGGGCCGCGAGCATCGATTCCCAGCTGCAGCCCCTGCGCAAGCTCGGCCGCAGAAAAGGTTAAATCCTCACCAACAATCTTCCAGCCGCTCTCCAATTCCTCCGCCTTTTTTGGCTTTCCAAAAATAGGCCACCACCGTGATGATTCTGGAGCCGGCGGCTCTGTTTGTGTGGAGTTTTGATCCGACGGCCAACGTCGAAAGATGCGGACACACTTGCGTGCCAAGGGGTCCGAGACGGATATTCTGCCGACGGCGGACGAGTTGAGACCCGGAGTCGGGACTGTCCGGAGAGGGGCCAAGTATTTTGGTGCCCGTTGTATGTCATCCGAGGCGTCATTGCACTTGACCAGAGTATCCTTGAATTCGTGCAGTTTACGGCACCGGTCAGAGCTATCACCAATGTTTGGAAGAAACAGAGCACCCGATTCATTACTCCACGATTCTTTTCCTGGACCTCGGTCTGTTGAGCCCTCAATGTCGACGACTATGCCATCACGGTTGCTGTCGGCCAGGATGACCACTTTGACGTTGTCTTGGGTAGCCGTGCAGTCAGGAGCTCCATGCGGTTCATCATCTCGTCTTGGATGATACGCCGACCCGAGCCGTCCCGTGCCAGGAACCTCTGCAGCACCCTCATCAGCCAGAGGTCGAGGAATGGCGTGACCGAGAGGCACCGCCGCCACGAGAAGAGCAAGACGCATGTCTCCTAGAGAACTGCAAACGATAAAAAGAGCGAAAGGAAAGACACCACAAGGCAATGGACGTCTAAGTCAAGAATTCGAACATGTAGGGCTGCAATATGCTCATGCAAGTTTTTCTCAGGGCCTATATATACATATATACTCCAGCCCCCGGTTTAGGTGTCTGAGTCAAGAGCCCGGTTTGGGTGTCTGAGTCAAGAATTCGAACATGTAGGGCTACAATATGCTTATATAAGTTTTTCTTAGGGCCTAATGTATACATATATGCTCCAGCTCGGTGTCTGAGTCAAGAATTCAAAGATGTAGGGCTGTAATATACTCATGTAAGTTTGTCTTAGGGCCTAATATATACATATACTCCAGCCCCCGGCTTGGGTAAAGTACACGTATTTATCACTTGGATACTACTATACCGTCTGACTCGGACATCTTGGACTCTAATCTTGTTCAAGGTGAACGCCGATACCTTGCTACACGGGTATGATCTCCCGGACAGGCATGTGCGACTGGCACCAAGTTTTAAGTTAACAAGCATGATGGATGCCAAATTGACTTCTATAATTGTTGCTTTAACAAGGAGAATCATCGTGAAGACAATTGGTCTTGATTTGTGTTGTTGATTGTTTTCGGGCCACGCAGAGGCTGTTGGCCAATGGGAGGCTGCAGTGCCTGAGGCAGCAGCAGGCCGGCCGCCTTGAAACACTGTGGTAATCAAACCACCTAAGTCGCGAGTCGCTAGTACTTTAGAAAACTTAAGATTATAGCATAAATTAGCTAATTCGCTTGAAAACGTAATAAGATTACAATAATAAATGGATTACGTTATCCTGTCCTAGATTATCCTAGCTAGCCGCGTTAGCTACGCCTTCTCTCCACCTATACTGGACGGGGTCTTCGTGGAGCCTTGTAGACGAGGTCTTTGTGAGGTCTTATAGATAAGGTCTTCGTGATTGATTCTTAATCTAAAAGAATATAAGTAAGGCTAGTTCTTTTCTTTCTAGGTTCTTTCGTAAGAAGGGTAGCATCTAATCATTTTGGCATTTCTCTCTCCTATAATCAGATCTCATCTGAGCTAGCTCTTATACATCTATTAGACGACGTATAAACTTCTGCTAATTCTAGACTCGGTTTGCTCACAATTTTAAATTTCCTGCCGGGACGCTGTAGCCGATTGCTCCCGACAATGCAACTACCGATGTCTCCAGCCAGCCAATCTAAAAGTGTCAACCGAGGCATCGGCAGTACTCGCCCGTTCTTCTGGCTCATCAGCTGCTGGCAAGAAAGCGGCTAAGTTGTATATAGTCGTTGAAGACACAGGATAATAGTAGTACTAATCATATCAATCAGATCCTAAGGCATTTTCCATATAAATAGGAGTATCTTCCGAAAATGCATCTTCTAGTGTGCAACCCATAGCTCGGCTCCCCTCTTATAGCGTCGCCACCAACCACTGAGGTACTCGCCGCTACCGCCGCTACCGCCGCCGAGCCTCTCGAAGCATCTCAAGACTCGCTGATTTTCTCGCTCATTCGTTAGAAACCTTCCTGTTCGCTATCTTTGAGAGATGTGCGTGTTTCTGAATACATAACCTGGTTGCCTAATTCCTTGCTTGCAGAGATCGTACGCATTTGTCACATGACTTCGCGATTCGCCATCTCGCAAGATCAATCTCACGTCCTCATCTAGCCCATTTCTCTACCCTCCAAAAAAAAAAAAAAAAAAGAAACACCGCGTCAAAGACTCTGCCATGACGACGCGCAAGCTACTTTCCGGCCCTATCACTCTATCCATTGCCACAGGTCGGACCGACAATATTCTTGACGCTTTACAGTACCCACTGCGCAGGGCAGCCTTCTATGATCATATAGAAGGACATCGTGCTCAACTGGCAGAGGTAATAGCACACCACCTGGGTACCAAGCCGACCGACATTGATATCTCACCACAAGAATGGTGGCGACATGGATCGTTTAATCTTTGTGTTCCACTCAAGATAAATATCGACTGTGCGCCGTCAAATACCCCAGAGTATGCTTTTATTCGCTTTCCCCTGCCTTACCGAGTTGGGGAGGCATCAAATCCCGGCAACTCGGACGAAAAGCTCAATTGTGAGGCTGCGACGTATGCATGGCTTGAGGAGAATTGCCCCTCTGTTCCGATACCAAAGCTCTATGGCTTTGGGTTATCTACAAATAAAAGGGTAAGCCTTCTGACATTTAAATTCCGTCCCGTGAGCTCATCAGCCCGCTAATTTACGAACGCCAGCCTTCTTCCCAGGTGGTCGCGCTGGTTCTACGAAGCCCGGCGCTTTTTCCTGGCGGCATTTGGCCTCCAGCAACCTTCACAATATGTCCGTCACGATTCCAGCCGTTTCGCAGCCCTTGATATCGGTTACCTGCTCATCGAAACCATCACTTCCGGAGATACGCTGTCGTCATCCTGGGATACAAAGCGTGATACTACCCGTCTACAAAATCTACAAGGGGACTTGGCGAGGATTATGGTCTCGCTCGCGCGTATTTGCCTACCCCGTATTGGCCTTTTTAGCCTCGATGGTAATGGGTATTTACGCTTAGACAATCGGCCTATTAGCGTTCAATCTACGATACACGAGAACGAAGGGATCTCCCTACACATGTCGCGGCGCACAACATTCTCTAGCGTTCAAGATTTCGTCTCCTCTCAACTAAAGACCTTCGAAACTCGATTTATGGAGCACCCGAACGCGATAGATTGCCCTGAGGATGCTTGGTACCAGATGGCTAGCCTAGCTGCTGCTAAGGTGGTATTCCCACAACTATTTCGAGACGATCTCCGCAACGGCCCTTTTGTGTTTTCCTTGACCGACCTTCATCGAAGTAACATATTTGTTGATGAGAATTGGCATATCACTTGTATCATCGACCTAGAATTTGCCTGCTCATGGCCTATCGAATTCCTTCAAACACCATATTGGCTCGGTGATAAATTTGTGGATGAGGTCACCTCTGCCGACATTACGCGTTTGCACGCAGACTTTATGGAGCATATCAGACGTGAAGAGAAATTGCAGTGCAGAGACACAGATATCTCATCGATGATGCAGCAGTCGTGGGCTAACGGCACATTTTGGGTCCCCTTGGCACTCAAGGATCCTACACACTTTGCAGCAATATTTTATAAGTGCATCCTGAAAGACTATTTTGGCTTTCCCGACGAAGAACTCGATAATGGCGCATACTTTAGGTTCTGTTCCCCTTTTTTCCGCCGCGATGCATCGAGCATCATCGACCGCAAGCTAGGCGATCGAGACAAGTACATGAAGTCCCTTACGGAAGCCTTTGCCGATGCCGCAGAGCGGCCATCCTGAAGCCTTTGGAAAGGCTTGGAAATTGTGGCCATACACTTTCAGGCACTCTTACTGCCTTTTGGTGGCGTCGGGGAGTTCGAGCACTAGATGGCTTATAAGTTCATGGATCGCCTTCCGGGAGTGAGGTTGAATTGTCTTTGTCTTTTTTTTGTCTGCCGTATTCAGTCTCGGCAAGAGTAAGGTAAGCAATGCTGTATCGACTAAAGAGGTGAAGGGTTCACTCACTTTCAGGCCGCCGTATATTTATTCAATCACGAAGGCACGTAGCCTCTGCTTTCTTCAATAGTCTGCTCTATGTGCCACGTCCCCTCAATCATTTGAAGTGGGTGCTGGACACGTCGCCACTCTACTAACCTTGGCAACTTAACGCCAGCTACTTACACGCCAGCGGCTGTTTTCTCACAGGGCTGACACGATGTGCACACTAACATGGCACTAAAAATTAAACGTCAAGGAGACAGCATATCTCTACGTCTACACACGCTATGCACCTACCTTGCTTACTTGCCAGGTGAGGTACTAGTTGTGGTATATACTATATACCTGCGACTACTGATAGAAGAAAGTCTTCCACTATCTACATAAAACAAACCACTTAGGTTTAGAATATATTTAGGTAAATAAGATTATAACTAACTAAAATATAGAACATTTCTTAGATATAAGTTTATATTGAATTTCTAAATTAATAATAGATTTATTAAGATCTAACTAGTTAGTTCTTTTTATTATTATTAAAAGAAAAATATTTACCTAGATATATAAAGATAGTCTAAGATATTTTATATTTAAAGAATAAGTATATAAATTACAGCCTTATATACGTAGATTATAAAGAATTTTGATATATAAGGCAAGACAGTTTAATATACACTATCCTTACTATACTTCGTGGAGGCGTGTAGAGATATGTTAAAGAATATCATTGTAAGGGAAATCTTTTATGTGGACAGTTTGTTTAATATCCCAGCCAATGATACTACGAGAAACTGACCGAAGAACCACCTGCACCCTGCCTCTGAGTGACGTCGGCCCTACTGCTTTTACTTTAATCATGTCTAGTCTCTGCCACGTTGAGCTTTTGTCAAGGCAAAATTTCCAATCTTTTCCCACCAAAAACAATTCGACAACGCTCAGCATCCATCCCATGTTTCTTCCCAGCAGCATGGCATCATGGCCGAGATTGTGAGCGAAAGCACCCCCCTCACTGGAGTCGTCTTACCCCGCAAGCCGACAATTGTTCGTCGCATTTTTTGGTTTTTGATGCCCTCCTTTGTAGCCCATTATTTCCATCCCGCCCAAGATGAAGAAGGAGTCGCTGCTCCCCCAAAGCCATTATTCCCCACGTCGTACCTCAATAGCCTACGGGGCATCGCCAGCCTCATTGTCGTCTTCCAGCACAACAGCAGCGAATATTTCCAGTCCAACTACCGCGGATGGGGCGACCAAGCCGACGACCATTACATTATTCAACTTCCATTTATCCGAGTGCTCGTCAGTGGCGGTTTCATGGTCGCCATCTTTTTCGTCATCAGTGGCTTCAGTCTTGCTTATGGGCCGCTTGAGAGGATATACCGCGGCGACACAGACGCGGCCATCGGAAGCCTACCTTCAAGCCTCTTTCGACGGCCTTTTCGCCTTTTTTTGCCAGCGGTGCCGATTGTCATAATCTGCGCAGTCATGAGACGCTTCGAGGTTCTGTATGGGCATCAGCAGCGGAAACCGATTCCGTTTACAGATGAGCCTGGTATACTGGGACTGCTGATGGCGACGTGGCGCGGATTCATGGCCGTCATCCGCGTCGAAGGAGATACCTTGGACAAGCTACAGTTGTGGACCCTCAGTATTGAGTTTCAAGGATCTCTGGTCGTCTTTTTGTGCTGCCTCGCTTTCGCACGCACCAGCCCGAACGTTAGAATCTCGTGCATCTTTTTGCTGGCCGTCTTCTACATGGGTCTCTCACTCTGGCCGCTTTCCTTGTTTCTCGCTGGTATGATACTGGCTGAGATGCGGCTTCGTCGTAGTTCGATCGAGCGGTCTGAGATTTATCGCACTGCAGCCACCACCATGTCTTGGTGGGCTCTGTTCATCGCATCGTTATTTTTTGGGGGTTGGCCTACACATGGCAATGTTGGATCGACCTTTGCATTCCGGTATTTTAACTGGATACCTACCGGCCCAGTGGCCCAGCCAAGATTTTGGCAGTCAATGTCCGCAGTTCTGATGCTGGCGTCTCTAGAGCACATACCTTTATTACAAGGCTTACTCAATAGCAGTTGTTTGCTCTACTTGGGAGAGATTAGTTACTCCCTATATTTGATCCATTGGGTTATCGCGCAGAATACAGGGACAAGAGGCAGTATTTTAGCGGCAGTGGAAGCGGGTTACCCACCAGGGGTGGCTTGGGCTGCGGTCGTTGCTGTCGTCATTCCGCTTTGCATTTGGGCGGCGGATATATACTGGAGAGTGGTTGATCAACAGTGCGTCCGATATTCTCGGTGGCTCGCTAGAAGACTTTGTATCTAGGCAGGCAGTCGGTATAGCAGAGAGAGGTCGCTTCCGAACCCTATGAGTCGCCGACTGTCGAGCTCAAATAAGTAAACTGCAGAAACATATAATCGTAATTTGTATTAAGTCAGGTAGCTGAAGTTGCGGATATTCCTCCTGGTCTAGCAGCCTTTCCAAGCAAAAAAATTATACCTGCTATTTGCGAGACAGCAATCATTGTCTATTGCCATGATGCAGGTCGGTTTCAAGAAGGCTCGCGATGTTGCTACATTCTAGCAGTTGGCTTGACACCAAGTGTGACGTAGAAGGAGCATCGCCTGCAATGTTCGACTGCAGACGTCTGATAGCCTGCCGTATGACACTTTGCAGTCCATCCTGCAAGACGGCAGACATTACTGCTGGTACAGAATGAGAGGCACCATGGCAGCTGTACCGCTCCTCGAACTGGTTGACCACGTTGGAGAATGTATGAACTTCTTGAAGGAATCTGATGGCTATCCCTTCTGGCTCCTTGTTTGAGTGCTGCTGTGTACATTTCCAGGATACATTTCCCATCATCTGCCTGAAAATAGCCCGGTAACCATCTAAAACGGCCAGACAGGTAGTAGCGACACCAAGACCAATTTCTGATTGCATAGAGCACGAACAGGTCATGATTGTGGAGAGCTGTCTTGAAATTGTGTCGAACGAACGAAAATGGGGGGTATTGTCGATAGCCATATCTGGCAGCCTCAGTCGCCTACAAAGTGATTCTGCATCGGATTGTGTGTTGGCAATTGCAGTTGCACAACCTGAAAAAGGAACAGAATGTGTTGATGGCGGGTCAATGCTCGGTAGAATGCATTCAGCCCAAAATTCGGGCCCCGCGGCACCCCCGTCTGACAACAGAATAGACTCGAGGCTGACATCGGGAATATTCTCCGAGGCATCTTCGGATGTCGACGTGGTGGTGATGTTATTGCCTGTCTCCGCGAAATTTATGCTCGTTGAGATTGGGGTGTTAAGTACGCTCTCGATTCGACTATTGCCTTCGGATGGCGACAGAAGGCCTTGGGGAGGGCTATTGTTCTGCCGCCGGGCCTGCTTATGAGATGGTCGCCCGACCTTTCCAGAAAGGCTGTAGATGCACGAGTATTGAGACTGGATGCATCGCCTGCACGAGGGCTTTTGGCCCTCGCAGCGCACCTTTGATGCTCGACAGGCGTCGCAGCAGCGCTTGAGCCTCGGCCTATTCATCATTCTTGTTTGTATCCCGTTGTACAGAGCGAAGCGATGAGAAAAACACGGAGAGGGAATATCAGCCGAGTTGCGTGCACCCACCACGCTCGAGATGCTTGACCACCAAACAAGCGTCTCATCAAGGCATTAGCAGGCATGCCACGAAAAACGCATTCGACGTATTATAGCACTGCTTGAAGCAGTACACCCCGTTTCTTGGAGACTCTCCCAGCCAGGCCTGGTTTTTGGGGGATTTCGGCGGCCGGGTGCGTTGAAGAAGGAAGGTGTTAGCAAAAACTCCATTCTCGCGGTGGAGAGCAACACTAGTGAGGGCACTGAGGGGCCGGCTTTCGGCCCGGGAAGGCCGCTCAGCCGCAATATCGACCTAATTCAGGGGTTTGATCGACTAAAGTGGGGTTTCGCTACACTGCTAGCTCCGATACTACCTACGCCTTGACGACATACCCCGCTAATGAAGTCCATTGACAATGACATGCGTTTTGACGCAGTGTTACTAATTGCAAAAATCTTGAATGTGAAAAAAAGAAAAAGAAGAAAAATTAGTCACAATATTCAATCAAACATCTCTTCGTTCGGTCAGAACCCGCCACCCACAATGTCGTAATGGCGTCTCACCTGAATTACTTGTGACCAGATTTGACTTTTGCGAGATCCGGCGCAGCCATTGTCATTAGTTGGAGAAAGCGACGGCTGCAGGTTTCAGTGTGTACAAAAACCCGAATGAATTGGATCTCGGTCTCAGAGGAGGGAGCAGCCGTGTTCGACCTGCAAGGTTGAGACCAAAAATAAAAGCAGACCTGGGCAGAGATGCGCACAGCGATTTTCATGCAAGTTGACAAGATCAACGATAACGCTGGTGGAGCTGCCAAGGGCCAATCTTAGCTGAAATGTCACGCCGCAAGTGATGGTGCATCACATGGTACCGAATAACTAAGAAACACAGGCTGGACGTAAGTGGGCGAGAACGTCAGTTTTTTTTCGAGTGGGCGGGCAACAGATTTCTTTTTCAGAGAATATAATCAGTCACTTTGAGCATCTATTTCTGTAGCGAGAAACATTCAGCTGTCAACGCATGGGAATGGCTCATCTACAAGAGCGGTCTAGTTATGCCAGGACTCCAGAGAAGAGGGCAGAATGATGACGTGATCAAATTTCGCAACGCCACGCTGAAGCTCATGTCGCTTTCATGCAGTTATCCCCACAATCGGCCATGCCTGTTGAGCTGAGTTGTTGTTCAGCCATGTATACCATGCAGATACGTGTCAACTGGTGCGTAGTGTCGCAAAACGCAGAGCGAGGCACTTTGCACCATTTTGTGGCTTGCAGAGGTGCAAGCTATCACGTTCGCTTTGTGGGGCTTCGCCAGGCAGTTAACATCAAATACACCTACATACGATAAACTAGGTGGCTTTGAAGATAGGTGGCTGCTCAATCTGATGCCCCATCCCTGAGCGATGCAAAGTAGCCAGCTGCGACTCAGTCTCATGTCAACTCGGTTCAAGCAGGTCCTACGAAGGCCTGTTTGAGCCGAGTGAGATAATCATCTCGGTCCCGAAGTTTGCGATCAATGACGGACGGCACTCTGGGAGACCAGGAACGACAGCAAAATCTGGTATATGCATCGTCATTAAGCTCTTTGGTGGGAAAGTTGAAATAGTTTGGCAATATTTGCTGGTAGAAGATTGTCGTACTAGAGGGTGATGGCAATTAGTAAACAGAGAAACGTCCCAAATTGGCAGAATAACTACTCTTTGGTTGGTCGAGAGGCCAAAACCGTAAAAGGCACGGGATCGGAACTGAAGGGCAGCTTTCTTGCAGCCACGCATATGTTGCGGCTTCGCAATTGAGCTTTTCGTCCGAATTGCCAGGTCTTGTCGTCTCTCCCACGCGATAGGGGAGTGGAAAGCGAATCATGGCGAATTCTGGCACATTGAGCAGGGCAACTGAGTCAATGTGGACATGGACTGGTACGCATAGGTTGAATGATCCGTGGCGCCACCATTCTTGAGTAGAGATTTCGACGGCAGATGGCTGGGTGCCGAGATGATGGGCGATGACCCAGGCCAAGAGAGCACGATGGCTCTCAACTCAACAATTTGAGCCATCTCGCTGAGCTTGGAGGTGGCTAGTAAGCTTCTTCCGGTGTATGCTTTGTTTGTTGGATTGAGTGGTGTATTGTCATCTCTCGCTTCTTGCTCGATAGGTCCTTTTCGTCACGAAGATTCGCTTTCAAAGAGAGGTATTGTGTGCTCTTCTGTCAAAGTATCGGCATCTTGGTAAGCCATTTTGCCGGGGATGGACATTGTCTAGGCATGAAAAGATTGTCGGTATTCTTCAATTGCGGAGGGGTAAGGAACAAGATCTAGAAGGCGCGGGGTTGGCGCTATCGGCGGGAGCAAACGGCGATGTACACCGTAAATAATTAGTGCCAGAGCTTAAAGCAAAGCGGGTTCTCCGCGCTGACGTGAACAACGCGCACGATAGCACGTTCAACTACAGTGTTCTTGTCGAAAAGAAAAATAATACATCAAAGGCGAATTCTAATTGCGACATAGGAAACGTGTACACCGTCACCATTAATAACGCCGTGCAAAGCAGAAAGCAAGGTCTGCAATTGATTCATATTCATGAATGCTCAGGGCGGAGAAGCGCACGAGTCGCAGGGCGTTGCGGGGGTTCGTGCCACGGGCAGTCGGCTACTTGTCAATGACGCGACTGGTCAAAACGTTCCGTAAACTCTATTGCTATTTACGAATCAAAAGCGCCGTGCAAGATTTGCGTACTCAGCTCGCTATAATTTTCCGAGTATGATAGATTACAATTGGAGTTTTTGTCTAAATCATTGCGGCTATTGCGACGGCCATCTGCGTACCCGATAACTAGAATCGGCAGGCTGGGCCGTCAACTTCTCATCAATGAGGCCATTATTGGCACTGGGCTTGGTTATTTCACGAGGGGACTGAGCCCAGCCAGAATGACAATCGCAACAGTGGCCAGATATTTGAAGCTGTGACAAATGCTCTGCTGAACCAAAACTCCATCTCGCCTGTCGAGAAATTGGGTTTGCTTCTCCGCAATTGGAGTCATCACCGGATGTTCGTATCGGGTCCTAAATATAGACATACTAGATAATCTTTGACTCATCCCTACACATCCTGTCATGCCCGTCAGAATGCACGGATCTATCCGGAGAACGATATAATGCTCACGTAGATTATCACCCTTATTACTATCCATTAGTGCGATCACCATATAGCTCCATCCATCTACGGCCAGGGCCTAGGCGAAACAGGGGTCGTATACCTCCTCATACGCCTGAGTAGCGACTGGTAATCCTTGTCAGCCGCGACAAAAGTGTTTGACCACAACAATCCCTGAATAGCTCGTTAGCGCTTTCTGATCGTTGAAATGCATGCCATTTCTGCGTGCGAATTCAATTCTTACCTCCTGCAAAGCCAGCTCTATAAACCCCACCGCTATATAAACATAAGTACGCACCAGTGAGGGCGACGTCCCCTGACCTCCCCCACGGAACTCGATAGTGCCCGAGACTTTGATAATGTTGGAAAAGTTCCAAAGCATGTGTCGTGTATTTCCTTGAACAAAAGCCACCAGTGAGTGAGCATCCCGGATTTGTTGGATTTCTTGCCGAAGTCTTCTGACATGACGACTCTCTCCGGAATCCAAGCCATTAGGAAAGAGTCTCTTAATCGAGCCGCTGCCTTGCATCACTCCGCGACAATAAAGAGAGCTTTCGCGATGAAAGGGCATCATCTGAAATATATGCCACTCGTAGACGATGGACGCGAAACAGATAGTCTTGAGCTCGTCGAGACTAAAATTCCTCTGTGCCGTCTTGACATGGACATGGGTAGAGGCAGAATCGTGCGGAACTAGAGTGAATGGACTATTCCTCAAGGCCTGGGCAAATTTTGACATGGCGTGATCCCATCTGAGCCCTTGAAATTGGTATATAGGAGAAACGGCCTCGAAGCCCACCTGCCCCGGCCCAGCCTGCAGTGAGGCATCACTCGTCACTGCCCAATCGGTGTTGTAGTAGTCGGCCGCTCTCGACTTTGGCCTTCTGTTGACCACCGCTGATTCACCGAGACGTCGAAGTTCCTCCACCAATCGTTGGTAGCATCGGTGAGGATCATGCAAAGGTCTAGCAGCCGCAAGGATGCCTTCTATCTCCATGCCAACCGTGTAAGTACGGCTAGATCTCGACATGGCTGACCTATATGCGTAAGCTTAAGACCCAAAAGTAGTTGAAGGGGTGATTATCTCCGAATTGGTGTTTCTGCGTCACACTTTACAGCTAGTGGACTTTAGGAGTTGATGGGGGCATGGGAAACCGGATAGTGCAGTGAGGGGTTGAGATGAATAGAGCTGCTGTCACTTGTACTCTGGAGCACTTGTACTATGTATTTTTACGTTAAAGTACGTGCGAGTGTAAAATACAAGAGAGTACGTCTGCTGCACCTACAGGGGCCTTGTAAAGGACGGCCAAGACCGTGCCAGCCACACCAAAGTGACCACACCATAGTGGCCGTATCCCAATTGACTTTCAGCCCAATTGCATAAGTAAAATAGCTCTGAATACTTTGAATACTACAACGTTATACTGGCTAGTGTCGAATATCCAGGCGGCTGATGTGGTGATTAACTAGCTCCAAGTCCTCTTTCTTGTGACGAGTATATGTCTCCAGGTCGACTTTTTGTTTTCCTGGTGGCCTCTTCAATAAGAAGCTTCTCTCTAGATATACACAACGCAAGCAATATGGCTTTGAAAATTATCTACTAGATGTGACTTTTGACGAAAGAGCATGCTGCAATGGCAATCCCGGTTACTTGTAGATTGAGTAGACAGCAAAGTGGAAAGGCCAGCCCGGCATGGCATAATGGTTCAGTCCACTTCAATAAACTTTTCTCCCTTTTTTTAAAGAAAAGAAAAATGAGATCAATGTGAAGGAAAGTAGTGAATCTCTCATTCTGGCTAGGATGGTCATAAAAAATCCTAGAACAAAGGAGATGATTCTCTTCGGCATAAGGGTCCAAGTAGCAACCACTCTCTGTGCCCTGTTGCCAGGAAGACAGTGCTGTTCACTCCTCCTATCCCTACTGAAGATTTCAGATATTCTGGGCTCACGGGGGACGGGGGCTAGAACTCTCGTTCAGGACCAAGTAACTGGCGGGAAGATGCCTGTCAAGTGACAACTTCCTTGCTTCCTCTTTCACCTTGTCATACAACGCTTGAGGTGTCCAGCTCGGCAATCCATGGCCTGATCGAAGGATATCATTGATCTCCACAACAGCGCGCAAGAAGCAAATGGCAAAGGTAATCCACCGCTTAGTGCGGATCTCTCCTCTCAGCATCCGCCCTCCTCGAAATTCGATAGTGCCCGACTTGTTGGGAAGAGTATTGTCAAAGTTCCAAATGACATACCTATTCTTCTGCATAATGCCTCTAAGGGCAATACATGTAGAAGCTGTGCTGATGAGCTCCGCAATCTGCGCCTTGTTCCCCCGACACGCACTCAGTCGTTCCGAGTTTCTGGTGTTGGGCTGGCAGTATGGGTTATCAGCTCTGTATTCAGGGAGCATTTGAAGGACGAGAGGCTCAAAGACGACAATTCCGAATGCCATCTTCTTCAATGTATCCAGACGGAAGTGTTTACCGCGCCCTGGCGCGATATGGACGTGGCTGCCACATCTCGTGTTTCTGTCTGGCATGTGAAAAACGGCCCTCATGGCCGCCCAGAATGTATCGATATCTGCGTCCCAATTGCGACGAACTTCGAAAATTGGGGAAACAGCTTCCAAGGCAACTTGGAAAGGACTAGTTAGTCAAGACGCAGAAAGTCGACTCAACAGTAGAAAGTTCTGACTAGCATCACTGTAGGTTCCAAGAGAGCCATCGCGTGTGATCCACCACTTCTCATAGCTCGCTGGTCGTCTTCTATCGCCGCTTAGTAAATCGTCGGCCTCGGCTTTAAGGCCTCGTTTGACTAGGGCTGCTGCGAGTTTTTTATAGTATAAAGCAGCATCCAGAGGCGGTCGTGGTGTGTGTGGCCTGACCACAGCTTCGATCTCAACCCCAAATGTCCAAGTAGTCATTTGAGGCATATTAGGAAGCAATGAAAGATGGGTATTGAATGGAGATTAGAAGACGGTCGTATTTTGTACAGTACTGCCACTGGCAGGTGGTTGTTCATTAAGCCGTATGCTGAACTACACAACGTATTCACCAAGTTCAAGGCTGCCTTATAAAAAAGGCTTTCCTGTTTACAATATATAGTGCATTCATGCTTGACCGGTCGTTGCCCGCAGCTGAATCTATAAATAATACTTGAGTTGGTGCATCTTCTATCCGCACTGTTTCATCTAACGCCTACTATCATCAGTGTGTCTCACGGGCGACGAAAGGGTGGATTGCCTAGTCATGCCATAATGGCCTCAGAAAGTCAGCTGGATGAGAGAATATTAATTTGTGTTACCCTCTACTTACTTATTTACATGTGCACCGTGTACATGTGCGCCGTGTACATGTACGGCAGTTTATAGACGACGATGATTGGCAAACTACGGATAGTGCTCTGGCTTCTGAGTCATGAGACTAGACGTACTAATTATAGCAAAATTACCGGTGAGGCCAGAATAACCGTAGGAAATCAGTTTAGCTGAAACATGCAGGCGATATGTCATGGATTGTGAGTGGGAGTCATCGCAAGTACTTCTAAAGTACACCACGCTGGTGTTGACGCTTTTCAGGCGCTACATTGTTTCACGCTCTGTTGGGCATCGAGCCCGACAACCTTGAGGTCCTCTTTGGACCGAGATACGCCCCGGCTGAGCAACACGGGTGATGCTTGGTGTTTTGTGTAACGCACCTATACACAGGGCGGCTGGTCCCGCGAAAGGGTGCCGTCGTATATGATGCAGTCGAGAACAAAGAACTAGGCAACAGCCGGCTGTTGCCTAGCCTTCTGTGTCACAGTGCAGCGACAGTGAATATGCACTGCGTGGTAGTATATATGCACTTGAATCCTTTTGAGGCGGGATTGCAGATCAAGTTGGCTGCTGCATATACTTTCGAAATGTTCCCCTACCCCGTCGTGCCCTCGCCATACGGCGCAGTCTTTGTGGAAGAAAGAGTCGAGTGGACACATAAGAACAGGCCGGCACCCAACCCAGCTCGCAACAATAGGAACCCTCCAGCACCGAACGCAGCTCGCAACAAGAGGAACCCTCCGGCACACAACGCAGCTCGCGGTAATAGGAACCCTCCAGCACACAACCCAGCACCCAACCTAGCTCGCGGTATTAGGAACCCTCCAGCACCCAACCCAGCACCCAACCCAGCTCGCGGTCACAGGAACCCTCCAGCACACAACCCAGCACCCAACCCAGCTCGCGGTATTAGGAGGCTTCCAGCACACAACCCAGCTCGTCCCAACGGCGTCTCTCCAATGGCTGATATTGCCCGCAAGTTGAACCTCTACGCCGATGAGGGCAAATATTTGTATTTTGCCTACGGCAGCAACATTCACGTCTCGCAAATGGCAGAGCGATGCCCCCGCAGCCTTTTCGTCGGCGCAGCGTCCCTCCCGGGCCATCGATGGCAAATTAACGAGCGGGGTGTTGCAAACATCGTCCCATCCCCAAGTCACCGCGTCGAGGGTCTCGTGTACCTAGTGGATCGGGAAGACGAGAAAACTTTGGATCGCTCAGAAGGAGTATCGCAAAAACTTTACGAGAGACAGATGCGAGAAGTCGACTTGACACCACACCCAACTCTGTACACGCAAAAGTCTTCGCTGGTTGCCGCAGAGCTCGAGAGAAATAACGCAGGGGTTCTTCGACGAGGAGGCCCAAGTCGGCCGGAGCTACGACCGGGGCGGATCAAAGTACTCGTATACGTCAGCGAGAGATTCAAAACTGACGGTGCAATTCGTACAGAGTACATAACCCGTATGCAAAAGGCCATGGCGGATGGTCTGAAGCTAGGTATTTCCGCATCTTATGTCGAGGATTGCATAAATCCATTGATCAACCCCAGGCCCAGAGGTCCGGCTCACATGAGGATTGAGCCGCGGAGGCCAGGCCCGCGTTGATTTCTTGGGGGGGGGGG